AAAGTTACTGTTGCTGGCCAACAACTTTGGTATATTATTCAACAAGTGTTGATTGCTGATTTGTTTATCGCTTCTGGTGTCACGATTTTTCTATTCTCAACCAGACATTTGCTCGGCGTTTGAGATTCATTCACGTCATTTTGTCCATGTTTATTTTTATTTCTATTTCTATTTCTATATTTCTTAAAGGTTACTCGCATTCCCCCATCTTTGAGTATAGCAATTCCCAAATAATGTGACGCTATATGACTGTGTAATAATTTTCAGCCATGGTGTATTGGACATGGCCAACGTTACAAACGATATCTTTGAAGCGACAAATAACATTCTTATGTTGATCAGGGCGACGTAAGACCACCTTTGGCATGAGCCTGTTGTATTCTACCACGCCATGTAATTCAACCACATCAGTTGAGACAAGAAAATCATTCACGCCATCAAATGTCGTCTTAAAAAAGAAGGTGTTGGAACCGACATAACGTAGACTCGTTAAATTGTTGTAGTGGCTATAAAGGTTCAAAAAAATTGTCTGTACAACTAAATAATGACGATAAGCAACCAATCTTACTTTAGGTGGGATGCAGCAAACAAAACATAGTTATTGCCTCTTCTGGGCTCGTTGATATGATCTTTGAAAAAGAGGAGATATAAACAATATCATCAAACCAGGTCTGACCGGGCATTGACTACACCATTACTTGTTTTGACAAGCTTGTGAGAACCGGAATATGTTCCGCGGTACTACTGTTGTGAAGCATAAATAGTTGTCTTTCTGATACACTAGATAGAATTCGGATTTTAGGTCACAAAACCAAATAAAACTGGCGCAAGCCCAATATTTATTTTTTACATTTTCTTCCTTTCTTTCTTCTTAAACTCACTTAAAAAAATACTAAGGATATATGGTAACTTTATTTCCCAATGTAATATGTGTGTCTATTAACGATGCTGGCTTTGTTTTTAGCTTCAAGAGGACCTTCTATTAATAACCCCAACGTGTTTCTAACGCTCTTTGCATATATGTAAGGTACTGAAATAAGAGTATGCGAGTAGTATTGGCGGGATAAAGAGTATTTCTTTAAATAAAATAGGGTTTAGTAAAGAAGGTCCTTATAATTGCGAGTTGAGTGAGCACCACAGCTAGTTTAAACAGAAGCTGAACTGTTAGAAAATAAATGGATTTAAGTATAGCTTATATGCTTATAAATAATAGATACGATGATAAAAATGTAATCAAGGGATCAATCAGAATGATAATAGAGCTGAATAATATATAAAACTAATAAGTCAAAGTGTTGAAATATGAGTAAAATAATAGATGAGGATTTTTATTTAGGAGAGGTCTTATGGATGCCTATTTATAGTGATGGACGTATAATCCAGTCACTGAAATTAAAGAAATTGGGGAAATTTATAGAAGAGATTGAGGTAATTGCGCCTACTAAGAGGTCACAGATCTGAGGATAAGAAAAAGATGAAAAGAAGTAGTTTTGACAGGTGCAAACCCGAAGAGGTGTATTGCACTTTAGTAGGTGTTTAAAAAGAAAGAAAAATTGGAAATGCGCTCGATTTGTCGCATAACAGTACTCAACTTCCAATTTGAAGCGTCCTGTTTTGAGTTTTTGTTATCTACATAACTAACAACGCTTCTCACTCAGGTAGTCTCGTAGTAGCTTTTGCTCTTTATATAGGCTGCTACTATACTCCTTTATCTCTTTTTAAAAAAAGAAGTCGTACTTTAGATAAAGCTGTAAGTTTTCTCATATACTTCCTAAATTAAAAGACTAATGTGGACCACCTCAATTATTTTTCTAAATTAGAACACTCTTTATTTAAAGATGTTATGGTATGTCTTTTGAACTTATATATCGTTTTAATAATCGGTCACATATTGTTTTATTATTTTTTTAAGACCAACGGTACGTCTGCTTTATCATGGACGGTCAAAGTAAGGTTGATATTACTCTAGATCGCTTCTTTGTGCTTCTAATTTTGTTTTTTTAGAGGATCAATACATTCATATGAAGCACTCTTTCTTGGTTTTATGTTTCGTTCGAGGTCGGGTGCAAAAGAATTCAAAGTTTATTAAATGTGTATATGTCATCCATTTTTATATAGAGATTATTAGTGCCCTATTTGCAGTTATTCCGTCTATCAGAACGAATGTTAAAAAATACTATTTGCCTTATTATCATTAAAGATATTTCTGCTTCTCAATAGCCATTGTATATACGATAATAAAATCTGTTTCATAGTTTATCATGGGTTTTATATAAAATAATGAATGAATGATAATGAAATCAAGAACCATTGGTTGACCTCTTCGAAATGTGGGTGATATAGTAGGCGAGTCTAGTCAGTTCAGAAAATCGGATTGACGCGCTTGATTCCAGTAAAAATTGGTGTTTACTTAAAGCCTGTTGTCCAGTCAAAGAGGTGGAGACATCACGTAGGTTATAGTTAAAATTCCCAGTGATGATTGTTCGAGAGTAAAGTTCAAGAATTACTAGATACGTTGTCGGAGGGAGTATCTTCTCTGGAACGAATTATAGGCATCTCGACGATACGAGAAACAAATTGCTGACGTTCAGAGAGTTGTGCCGGAGCATAAATGATAACAATAGTTATAGGATCAAAGGTACGTCGAGAATGGGATATAGTACACTTTATCACCTGTTGATCAATTTTTATGAAATCAAGTGTTAAAACAAACAACGTCCCCAATGCTTGCTCCAGACTGTTTGTTTAGTTTGGAATAAACTATCCAGAGCTAGCTTCAGTTTAGTAGTGGAAGCGTGTGTTTCTTGTAAAATAATAATATCTAGAGGTGGGTTTCGTTTACGCAGAAAACGAATAACGTTTTGACGACGAGAGGGATCCTTGATTTTGATAAGACTGCGACAGTTTAAAGTAGCAATCCTGATGGTAATTGAAAGGAAAGAGTGGGCCAAGAATGGATCTTGGTTAATTGGAGGAAGAGGAGAAGATGTTGATCCTGTTGTTGTAGTAGGATGAGGATTAGTGGTGGTTGTGTAATTTGAATTATGTAAATTCATAAGTAATATAGATTTTTTTTTTAATCTGCCCCCTCATCAGGCAGACGTCTTCCGAGAAGAAGATGTCGGTATAGAGGAGGAAGGGTCATATTTGTCAAGCTGCTTAAAGTTGGTATTTTGTTGTATAAATACAAAGATAACTTATCGCTTGAGGACTTTGAGCAACCCAATTTTGCAATTTCTGTAAATAGAGCTAATTTACTTGCTGCAGTACATTTCATCTGTTGCTCGAAAATTCTATTCTTCTTGATATTACTTCCAATAATGCTCAACCCACTTCAAATGTTGCAGATTCAAATGCAACAGTACCCTCAAGAGTACTTAAAGATGCATTCCATTTGTTAGACCTCATAAAAGTATCTCCTCGACGCGGTTTAAGCAATGATTTTATCCGTAGATTTTGTGACACTTTGTTTGTTTTTGACAGTGACGATAGACATAGGGTAGAAGCATATCTAATCTCGATTGGTACAGATTGAAATACTCGTTTATTATTTTGGATCGTGTCAGAAGATACATCCCCCCTCCAGCGGAGCTGTATCCCATTGTCAAGCTAATTGTGTTCAAGAGTTAGCGCTGCTTCATAAACTAACTGAGTAATCAACGCATGCGTGATGTGCCGTACGTCTCTTTTTTCTCTGGATCATCCACGTTTTAGTCTTTATACGTATCAATTCATCTTCAAGTAATAAAATATTAATAAATCTTATTTTGAAATAATCAAAAAACTGCAACCGAATTTTTTTTTTAACGAATGAACGTATTCAATGATTAAATGTGTATAAATACAATTTTTAATTTGGTTGAAGGCCGAGTGGAAGAGCTGATTTTTTCTTGTGCACCTGCATAATTATGTATTCAATTCATCTTAACAGGTAAATGGGTATACGCTTACTGAAAATTCGTCCCAAAGGAGTAGAAAGGTAAATTTACCTAATCCGTTTTTACTGAGTAAATGGGTAAACACTTACTAAAAATCCGTCAAAATGGATGGATTAGAGGAGAAAATCTAGCTTTGATGTTTTCCTTGGCCGCTTGTTTTGTAAATGTATAGCACTCACACTTGTATAAATCGTATCGTGTAATGCTGCAATCCCTTGTTACTGTTTTATTGTAACCTTATGTCATGTTTATAGTACTAGCTATCTATATTGGGAAAATGATTACTAAATCACGCCTGATATATATATATATATGTCATGTATGTAAAAATATCTATTGTAGCAATAATATGACAGATCACCACAATCACACTGGACTTTCTTGCGTTACTTAAAAAGTACGTTGTATCTGTACTAATTTGTGGTTCTATTATAGAGTGCAGATTTTATTGTTTATAAACACCTACAGTAACAAGAAAAAGACACGTTGTCATTATGCGTACGCTACAATTTTACTAATACTCGATTTTGTTTACTGTACAGCTGTTTGTTTAGCATTAGTTGCTTGAATCAACTTTGAAGATTTACATTTTTTTTTTTTAATTAGTTATAAAAATTCAAAACAAAAAAAACTTGATCTCTCTTCAATCGTTTTATAAGACCAGTCGAAACATGAGCCTCATCATTTTCTTTATCAAACATCTCTTCGGAACAAACAGAAAGCGGAAGGGGGTCGACTCAGTTACGGGAAAAACGGTAGAAGTTTTTTTTTTTCTGAACAAAGAAGACCAGTAGCAGAAAATTTGGTCCACTTCGAGGTCCTGACTTCTTCAACCCAGTCCAAGTGGAACTCAGTAGTTTTCAATTCCAACAGCTTAACCAAGATAGTCGACTCGCACTCTCACAACGTGAGGTACCATTGGGTATTTCACAACTTTGTTATATTACAACAATTAAAAACAGCGAACAACCCAAAACCAGCAAAGTTCATGATCTGTACGAGATCTGTTCCACAGTCTTCCAAAGAGATCATTCTTTTATGCTCACTTACTGAAAGCGACCAAGATGCATGACGACCAATAAAGAGAACTCTGTTACAAATGGCTGCAATTATTTTCACAACTCGGGCAAATAAACCATGATTATGCGCATTATTATTCCACAAGACTGCTTCTTCTACTGTTTCTAATTGACTGATTTTGGTGGTTTGAAACCCCCCCCCCCCCATTCGCTTGATCCAGTTGTTCGTGAAAATTTGTTTTTTCAGCAGTTCTTGATCTCACTTAAAAGTTTTGGGATGTGTTGTTACTAAATCAGTTGGGGAGGTAAAACGGGGTAGAGTAGTTGAGGTGGGAGACGAAGCTGTTGATACAAGAGTTGTTACATCTTGGGATGTTGATGCTTAATGAACTACCGAAGGTCGAATTACTCTCGAAGAAGGGGTTTGCGTTTTTCCCAAGAACCCCCTTGAAAAACAAGCGATTGCTCTTTTCGACATTAAAAATTCTCTCTATCGTCCTTGTCAATAGCTGTGTAAAATATCAGAATTGAATAATACTATAAATAATCAAAACAGTACTTACCAATCGCTTTGAGATTTCTTTCCAAATAACTTTCCCTCAACGACGGCAAGACCAAGGTTTTGGGTAATTTCTGCGGTATACAGCTCAGGTTCTTCTTCTTTCTATTGTTTCAAGATGCCTTTGATTCCATACTTCATCCACATGAAATCTATTTCGGCAAATCGTTAGCGGTCTTCGGTATTGAGCATCTGGCATAACAGTTGGTTTAAATATATTTTTATATTTACATTAAAAAAAACACGAACAGTAATATTAGAAAATATGAAGAAAAGAAAAACTTTTTGCTGTATAAACAGATCGCACAAACAAAATCATGCCTGATAAAACTTTGTGGTGTATCTAAGTTCGCTCAGTGGACTTCTATACACTACATACAACAAAAAATAAAAGATCAATAAAATACATAAATAAAGCAACATGAAAAAACAACATTTATTTCTAATCTAAACGTCGTCTCTTAGAAACAATGGTGTTTCCAAAGGAAAGGAAGAAAGAGGTTTAACCACCCCTTCTTTAAACTTTAAGTCACCAATTATGGGTGACACAGACCCATCAAGACCACCAGAACCAACATCCTCAGTGATTGATGAAAAATCACTGGCAACAGGTCCCGAAGACAAACAACCAACAACAGACAGCGAATCCACACCAAGAGGTTATTTCTCTACTTAATTCAATCAATAAAAATGTAATGCAAAAATTAAAAAAGACAAATGTATAAAAACATGCAGCATAACATTTTTGTCTGTTAAGGGTAAAATCTTATTTTCCACCAGACCAGATTTACTGTACTTAACCAAAATTTTATAGAGTGGGATGTACCACTGGTAATTGATTTCGACGTTTTTTAAATCATCTCTATGAACTTTTTGAAGTTCATTTAAAAACTCTTGCAATTTTTTTAAAGGATAATTCTTTAATTTTTTAGTCGAAAACAGGGCAAGAACACCCAAGCCAGCCTTATCAAACATCTTGAAAATGTCAACTCAAATTAATTGTATATCTATGAAATATGTTCAAGTGTGCTTTTCTAAGATCAGAAAGATATCGACTTTTATTGAAAGCACCGTCTAATTTCGCGATAGTGTATGAAACAAAACAATCAAGTCTTGACGACATTGAAAAAAAGTAAGCCTGTTGGCAGTTTGAATCTGCAATTTTCATGTTACACAAAAGCTTAATCAGTGCTGGTTGGCTATACTTTTGTGGCTGAAAAGATTGAAAGGTCTACCCAGGTACGTGGCGCAAAAATTCCAACTGCTTGATCAAAGAATCTTTTGTGAGTAAAGTCAGCTCTGTTTCTTCAACATGATAGGCTTGATAATTACGATTGCTGTTAATTGAGGCTTGGAGGGAAGGAGAAGAAATAGGAAAGCGAGAGGGACTGGCAGCAGGAGATAGACTGGTAACAGGGAAGGGATTGTCAATAGGGGAGGGACTGACAGCACAAGAATCACCGGCAGCTTCAAGAGTAGCGACAGAAGCAGAAGTCACTTCTTGTGGTGGGGTGTATCTTGACGGCGGGAAATGATAGCAGTGGTAAGGGCAAGATCTATTTTTTGAAGACATTCATTCAAGAAACTCATGCTAAACACAATTACCATGAATTTTTTTTTGCAATTCAGCAATACGTACAAAGACATCAGAGGCCTTGAAATCGATTAACAACCCAGAACTATTTCAAGTACGAAATAATTACATATTCTCATTCAACGTCATTACTTTTTGTTGGACAAATTCTGGTTCTACAGGTGTGCGTGTTATATCACGCATTGTTTCCTGAATTTAGAATAACCAACCTTCAAAGTTCAATTCGAGGAAAAGCATTTCAAATTGAATTTTCTTGGCAACGCGACAAGAAATTGAGGGCATGGATATCGAAAAATAAAACATTCGAAAGAAAGAAATAAAGTACACACTTAATTTGACGTAAGATCTTAAAATCTCTACTCAAAGAAAAGCCACAATGCCTAACATGTTTGGTGAGATTTTGCGACAGTCAAAAGATTGCTATATTGATATCTTTTGATGCTTTTAGAAAGTCTGACCGATGTTGAAGGGCGTCTTTTTAAGACCATCTCAACTAAAACAATGACAGACAGTAATATTGCATTTAAAGCTCCGAATAGAGTGTCCTTCGAAGGATCAAATGTTTGTAACTCACAACCTGTCTGTGTCTCTGTTACGAGGACAAAGATCTTCTGCAGACAAATTAAATCCTGAAACAGGTGCGTCACCATTTACTTCAAGTATCAGGGTATCGAATGCATAAGTATAATGCTCCCTTGTTCTTTCTTAATAATGTGAAGTACCATCTGCAATAACTCTGACGTTGAAAAAGATGGGAAAAAACAAAGTGAAATTCAAAGGAATAAATTCTGGATACTTTAAACTCATTTACGACCACCAAAAAGGACAGGTAAAGTTAAGTTAGTCGCTTGTGTTAGATAGTGACGAATTTCGAACACCATCCGTAGTTCATTTCTGGCATAATATCAAGTTGATCTATCTGTATACTCTCTGTATAGAATACATCGATCTGTAACACATAATACCAGAAGTATCCTTGTTTCCATTTTTCTTGAAACATACTATTCTATGACATGTCAGTATGCAATAATTGTAATCTTTATTGAAGCAGGTATGTTTTTGGCGAGCAAGGGACATGGACATATATTTCAACACAGATCTGGGCAGGAAGTGAGCATCCAGCTGTTTATTCTTGGCCCAAACGGAGAGATTACCAGACAGAATGTTATCGTCTGCTTTCCTTGTCGGTGATACGGTTAAAGAGCTTTACAGTAAGGAAAAAACTTATAAATATCCATCTGTACCTTGTCTTCTTTTTTATAATAACCCGTCCAAAAAAGGTAAGGTCATGTTTGAATGTGAGTTTTGATTCGTCTGAATAAAAAAAAACTGATTTTAAAGTGTGTCCCTGATTTTATGTATCCAGGCTTTTTCGCTTTAAATCAAGTCAGACTACTTGAACCCAGAATCAACATAGTAAATATATTTCTTCTTTTAAAGCGACCTGCAAAAGCTGACTGCTTAAAGAAAAGCTATGCTGGAATTTGCTTGTTACCTTAATGAAACGCTGGCCTTGCATTGCTGAGACATTTAGAGCTTCTCAAATCGAGGATTTTCTGTCGTGGATGTGTACCCAAGGGAATTTTAGCCTAAATAAAAAGAGTATACTTCTGTCATTCTCATCATCACCGCATTTGTAACCTTGCTTATAACAGCCCGAAGAATGCATCTATCGGTACAATTATGGTCTAAAATCTGTAAATTGGAAAAAGACTAAGCGTCTGCAAGGAGGTTAAAGAAAGAAAGAAAAAAGGTACTCAGTGGCCGGCTGGCTGGGGGACGGGGGGTTTTAATGAGGACTTGAAAAATGTAATCTGTCATAAAGTATTTCTCTTCTGTTTCTTCCTATTTTTCTTTCGCAAATTAGTCGTGATAAAATACATACTGTACTTTTGTTAGTGAAACATCTACATTGTATATCAGATGTGTTTGGCCCTTGGGCCCTGGCGGGTACGTATAATTTTAAAGAAGCGGCTCATCTGCAACCCATTAAGGTTTTTTTCTTACTTCTAAAAAAATGCCTCATTCTGTATACAAGAAAAAGATTGTTACTCCATCTTTTTGTAACAATTGGTTATGTCAAACACAAGTTTAAACAGTTTGAGCTCCTCGCAGTAATTTTTTAAAAAAAAAGAAGACTTATCGAGCATTAACAGCATCAATAATGACAGTAGCAAACTACGGTTGCCACGGAACGCCGGAGAGTTAAAAAGGCTGATGTGACATGAAAACTTTTTTGTGTGTCTGTGTTCAATTGAACAACAATCCGAAATTGCCTCATAAGCACGGTGCCTCCGATAATTTTTTTTATTTTTTTGTTAAAAATTAGTGAATTCATTGATCGCAATAGATGGAAGAGTGTAAGGACTCTCTCGTGTGGGAAGGACGCGTCTTTTGGGATGAATTGGGGTGGGGGTCAGATGTGACTTCGTCATTTGTGGGACATAAATAAAAGAAGGTAAAAAAAAAAAATGTGGACATGGCACGACATGTTGTTGGTTTACTACAAGATGTAGGAGAGTGAATTCAAGTGATGCACAATCAATTTGTAGCGGAAGAATGCTAACCGTTTTATTTTCTCAATTTTCCTTTTTTTTGTCTTGTAGACATTAGTCACCATGACAAGAGCATTAAGTATGGAAACCGAGTGTACGGGCTCGCCGTCACGCTCCAAAAAGAAATAGCTTCAAGTCACATTCGCACACGTGCAAAAGGACAGTATTTATTCAAGGAGATACTCCAACTAAAAGCGAGGGATTGCGGTGATATCGCCATTGAAAGGCATTTTTTTAGGGGAGATTTTCCATATTTTTTAATTTTTTTTTTTTATTCTTTATTATGTGAGTGATTTTAGCCGGTTTAAATTGTACTTATCATATAACGAATTCTCCTTGTTGTTGTTGTTGTTGTGCAAACTAATTAAACTCATAATATATTTATTTAGTAATAAAAGGGGACCCAACATCATCATCACTCTAAATTCTTTTTTATTCGCCTTAAAAATACATTTTAGCATAGTTGATCGACGACGGGGAATCTTATTTAATCTCTCTCTTTTTCTTTTTTTCTTTTCTTTTTCTCTCCCTCTCTCTCACTTTTCAATCCCATTCTCTAATCGATAGTAGTTTACTCTCATTGTAAGTGTTTATTTGCTCTTCCTTTTTTCTTTTTTCCAAAAAAAATCCCCAAAAAAATAGAGTGTTTAGTGATAATCATTCTTTTATCACTCTCCTCGCCACCCTCCCTCTTCCGTTTTCCTCCCAAATTACTATGATATTTGATATATTCAAATAATACAGTGTGTATTTTTCCTTCTCTCTTTCTATACTCCATACACCAAAAAAGAAAAAAAAAGACCCCTATATATAAATATATACATATATAAAAACCCCAAAAACAAGAATATAATCTCATCAAGATTAAAACCATCATCAACAATAACAAAATGCTTATAAACGGCATTAAATTTGCATGTAATACATGTGTCAAGGTAATACAAAATCAATCTATACAAGTTTTTTTTTTATTTTTTTTATATATTGCATGCTAAATAATCTTTATAAGGGTCATCGATCTTCCAGCTGTAACCATATTGAACGTCCTTTATTCGAGATACGTAAAAAAGGAAGACCTGTGACTCAATGTGCCTTTTGTAGAGATTTGAGAAAGACCAGACAAATCCATATTAAATGCACCTGTACAGATAAAACAAAAAGTAAATACTCACAAACAAAAACAAATTAGTTCATAAACTCACCCACTTGTTGTTCATCTAACAGATATTGAAAATACAGCCATACAATGCTATCAATGTCCATCTACTAGCAAAGTGCTTGAGGAACAAGGAATAGCTTATTCTGATTTAATCCAAAATTCCATCCTCAATAATAAATTAAATCAAGATACTGCCATTCAATGTACTTGTCATGAGGCTGCAAACAAGATATTACAACAAGAAACTTACGCTTGGCCTACCACCACCAAAAACATCAGCACCAACACTACGAATGCTAGTCAAACTCCTATTTTACCTGTCAGACCTCGGGGCATGATCATTGAAGATTCTTTCTCATCTAAATCATCACTGCGTTTTTTGGGAGGACAAACAAAGAGTCCCAGAAGAAGATCATCCGCCGGTAGTAACAAAAAGAGATCAAACGGACATCAAAAACAGGATGATATGATGGTAGATATGCAATCCTTTTTATTTAATCACCAACAGCAAAGCTCGACCGAAATGGAAACCGAACGTCCAGTTGCATTTCCTTCTAATTCCACTTCTTCTACAAGCACGCCCAACTCAAATTACAATCACAATGGCATTTTGGCTGAGGAAAAAGAAAATAATGGATACAGTGATCACGATATTGGATTTATGATGAGCACAACAAATACAGATGAATTAACTAGCTTATTGAATAATGTATTGGATAACAGCAAGAGACAAAAGGAGAGAGAGGAAGAGGAGGTCATGAATACAATGGATGCAAGCACGCATATCATGGCATCCGACATGGCTAGATCAACTACTACCAATTCATTTTCATCCTCGTCGTCTACTAATGCAGGTAATTTTATTGTTCCACAACATCAAATTGTTTGCGGCAGTTTTACACCCCATTCAAATTGCTCTCCAGCCATCGATACACAAGGAGAATCGGTTGTAATTACCATTACGCCACTATCTACCTTGTTTACATCGGATGAAGAACGACAGGATAAGATGATAAACCAGTCAAACAAGCCAGTGACACGTATTGTAACTTGTTATTGTGGTAATTCGTGTATTTGTCCTGGATGCTTTGTTCATCCAAATAATTACATTCAACAACAACAATACAATATGCAACAGCAGCAATATAACATGCAGATACAACAAACATCATCTAATTCTTCTTCTTATAGTTCAGATGATGAGGATCAGCATCATTTAAACTATTCTGCTACCAATTATTCCCTTCTTTAAAAAAAAAAATCTCATATGCAGCTTGTTATTATACTACGCAACTCTCCTTTTTTTTTTACCCTTACAAAAAATGTACATACCCTAAATTTTTTTTTTTATACTATATTTCACTTTAAACCTATGCCCTTACTACCATCGTATTATATATAGAGATCATTTTTTAAACCCCTCCCCCATGTCCCCCACTACTTTATCCTCGTCTCGAAAAAAATAAATAAATAAATCCTTCTTTATGCATGACGTGCTAATGGGCTCATGCAATTAAAAATCTAATTTTATCTTGGAATCGCGACAGACATGGTAACACGTACAGTACATCACGTGGGCATCTTCAAAACGCCCTTTTATATATTTTTTTTCCAGCCCTTTCTTTCTTCTTTCTTTGTTTTTGTATACAACACAAATATATATAAAAAAAATGGTAAAAAAAAAAAAAAAATGCATAGAGACAATGTATGCATACTAACAAAGAATTATCTAGGCCGATCAACTCAACTCTACACAATTATCAGAGTTTAAGGAAACTTTTGCATTATTCGATAAGGATAACAATGGTTCAATCAATATTAGTGAGCTTGGTGCCGTGATGCAGTCTTTGGGTCACGATGCTAGTGACCAAGAATTAAAGGATATGATTTCCGAAGTTGATGCTAACGGTAACGGAACTATTGACTTTGAAGAATTTTTACAACTGATGCCCAAGTACGTATATATTCTCCTTTTTCCCATCTTTCTTGGGGGTGAACCTAACACTTTTTTTAAAAAAAATAGGATGTCCGGTGCTGCTGACACGGAAGATGACTTATTAGACGCTTTCAAAGTGTTTGACAAGGATAACGATGGATTTATCACCCACGATGAGCTTCGTCAAGTGATGAAACAACTCGGTAAATATATATCATAAAGGCATAGCGTGTGCAAATACTTATTTTCTCGTCTCTATCAGGCCAAAAATTATCTGAAGAAGAAGTTAATGAGATGATCAAGGAGGCTGATGCCGATAATGATGGAAAAATTGACTACAAAGAGTTTGGAAAGATGATGGTAATAACGGTCAATCTACTTGTTTGATAATTTTTTTTTTTGTGTGTTAAACTTTTCTCTCGTAGGCTCCCAAGTAAAAATTACAGATAGAAGATTCAAGAATAAAAAAAAAATAGCCCAATCAAACCATTTTGGACAATTGACGCGCTTCCCCAAAAAATATTTTTCTTTTTGTGTGTGTGTGTGTAATATTTTTGAATGTTTACGTAAAAAACCGACGGAGATCATATTTATGACGTAAATGTAACATCAGATGAGTTCCTGACTGGAAAATGATGCATTTTATGCAATGTTTCGTTCCTAAAATTTGAAGTTTCCGAGAATATGACCTATGAACAAAAACGGTAGTAACACCCCGTCATCCTTTGAGATGTTCTCTGCTAACCCCCAACCTTACAAATTTAACCTTCTCCATAAACGTTCGGGCATTCTTTTAAAAAGCTTACATAGGATCTCAAGATCTTTTGGACTTGCGGTGATATTATGCTTTAATTACACCAATGGAGATATGTGTCAATTTTTTAGGCAAAAGCGTCCCAAAGTTTACAGGCTATCTCTTTTTGGAGAAATATAGCTATCGGTTAATTCCTTGGATCATACCATATGCCATAAACTATAATGTCATACTTCTTATAGATAACTTGTATGGCTATACTGTTAGAATGTCGATACGATAGGACGCAAAGATGGTTATAAGACCATGACAAAAACGCAGAAATTGTGGCAACAAGCAATGTAAAAGTAGAACCAGTAGATCTAGAATTAATGTTTTTAGATTTAGACTCGTTCTTACATATTAGTTTTATAGCTCATGACGGCAACTTGATTTCAATGACGGGATTCATGAACTCTAAAAGTTAAAAAGTTAATGACGATGAACAAGCGGCAAAATGTTTTTAATAAATTATCGAATTCTACGTATTTTCCATACAAATAGTTCTTTATCCGCTGTCTTCAGAAGAGGAAACATATGTTTCTTCTAGGCGTATTCTTTCGAGCCTTTCTTTTTCGGCATACTGCTTCTCGAGAAAAGCTGTGAGATTATCATTTTGGCGGCCGATCAAAAAGTTATTTAAGACTATACAGACACGATAATCCAGCCACTTGCATATTTAACATCCAATTTTCCTCCAATTAACACGCTCATTTTATTGAGGCTTAGAAAGCGGGTCCTGAGCATATCAAAAGCGTGTTCAACCTTGATCCGCATCTGTAAGATGTAGTTATTGAAGCGTTCGGTATCACTGTCTTCAGTATTCTTGCTTACGGGTACCAGAAAGGGATACGGAATGTAGTTATCATCACCAAGGACATATTCGTCATCTTTAATACTCACTGTCAACACCATATTTTTGAGAAAGTTTGTCTAACGAGGTGTTAATACCTTTAGTACCTAATCTTTTAAGGACAACTGTCATTTGAAGTCTAATGTCTATTTGAGGTTTTTGGTGTGTTGATTGGTCCTCGATTAATTAGAACAACGCCTCAAACGAATCCCTATCCATTCTAATTTCGCTGACAAAATTGTCATTGTCAACTTGAAATAAAGATTTCAATCTATTTTCCCTTAGATTTGGCGTGCTTCCCAGAAACTATATATCTTAAACTTGATATATTTCATCAATTGTCTATCGACGTAATGCTTTAATTAAATTTGTAGAAACTCGTCAAAATTATCGTAGTCGTTGCCACTGTGAGAATCCAAATAAGCTATTTCTTCAATGAGTGAGGATTTTTTGTATGTGATAACGCTACTTAAAATGTCTGTATGTTTTCTGCTCGAAAGATTGACCCTTCACTGTCCAGCTCTTTTTAAGAGCAGGATCCTTTTATGCGGGGTCAAGTTCAGTGTTCACCTCTTGTTTTTCTGAGACGTTTGTATTATCACAAGTGAGTACTGGTTGTTCAATAATGTATGTAATGAGAACAAAAAGATTGAAAGGTGGAACTGTCACTTGAGTGTATAGAGCTGTAATTCGTTTAAATGGAAGGAAAGCGACTGTTACTATACTTCCTTCCCACCTTCCAGAAGACAACGGAACAAACAATCTATTTTTAAATGACAATATTTTATTTCAAACATGATAATTCTGCCACCCGAGAACTTTATTGTTTCACTAAAGCTACATATGAAGAAGTTAGTCTGATATGAAGCATGTCCTGAACACAAAATATTTCTTTTTATAATTATACAAATACATATGCCAACACGTCTCTTGTAAGTTTTTGGATTTAGTAATTGAGCAGACTTTGGCTCTACTTATTGCAGTAAAGAGCCCTTTTTTTGTACATCTAATATCATTTCCGGCAGCCTAATTTATTACAGTCATTACTTTCCTGCATGATCGTTTGTGCATTTACCATTTAGAATAATAAATTAAACCATACAGCACGTTTTCACTTCAGTTTCTGTTAAAAACCTCCTTAAACTTTATCTCGCAGTTGCAGATTCCCCATGTTTCATAAAAGAGCAATTAACAATGAGCCATTTAAAAAGTAGGTGAAGGGGGTTGTATTCGAATATCAAGCAATGTTAAAACAGAATACATTAGGTAATACACACATACGTCCTCAATGTAATTAAATTTATTCAAGTAACACACTTAAATGCCTGTCAATTCCATTAACACATAACCTAGTGTGACAATGCACAACATGATTAAAATACTACAGGGAACTCCGTTTTTAAGGAAGTCCTTTGTTTTTAAATAAGGTGTCCCCAGTGCGTTTTCTTGTGAAATGGCAGTCATGTTGGGGAATCCAGATACAGGTAAACCCATGGCAGCAGAACAGACAAAGGCAGTTCCCTACAATGATTTGAATAAAAATAAAGAAGATCAATATTTACGTGGGAGATGGGAGATGAAATAAACATGTACCATAATTAGCAGTCTTGGATTAGGGTCCGTGAGATGCAAGCCCACCTTTGCAACAATGGGTATCACAATCAGAGCTGCTACCGTGTGACTAATAAAGGTAGCAATGACCAAAACCAAACAGCTAAAGATAAACAAGACTTGGAATGAAGAGAGACCCATCACTCGCTCAGATATATGCAGCGCAATTGTATGCAATAGACCAGAACTCTCCACTGCTTTTCCTAATGCAATACCTCCCATTGCCAAGATAATTACGTTCCATAGGAAATTGTTAAATTCATCCTTAGTCAAGATGCCGGTACCAAAAAATGCAATCAGGGGTATAATTGCAATTACTCCCATATCACCTAAAGTGTCTCGATAGGTGCGGGCAATACACCACAGTAGAATAGTAAACAAAGTGACACACGCAATGTAAATCTGAGTCGGAGTGATTTTGCCACCATTGTTTGTTGTTGTTGTTGTTGCTGCTGTAGGTATCGGATTTTCATTTTTGATTTTGTAACTTTTTAATAACCAAAGCCAAACAATAAGGTTACCTAATAAACAAAGAGGTATTGAGACGCAAAACCAGTCCGCCCAAGAAGGGGGTGGTGACATGTTTTGAATAGCTATCACATTTTGAGGTGAGGCGATGGGAGAAGCGATACCGCCTAGATTTGAAGCCAATGCGATTCCCATAATTAGACAAGGCCCAAAAGAAGAGTCAGGAGGTAAAGTCCGTAAAATAGGCTGGATTAAAGAGAGACAAAGAACGGGTGCGGCTACGTTACTAATCCACATACTTGCCATAGATGCAACCAGCATATTAACAATCAAAACATTTGAGGGGCGCGAGCCCGCCTTTGACAGTACGAATGATGCTAACGATTTTGCTATACCGTATTTGTTTAAGGCCGCTGCAATAGCAAAGCCACCTAGTAGCAACATAATGACTGGGGACAGCATTGACGCAAAAACTGTCTTTGAAGCTTCCATTGCACTAAGTCGGGTATAAATTATTCTTCCGTCGTCACTTTCATCTTCTGATCGAATGACTCGTAAAACAATCACCAAAAAGGGGACAAGCAACGCTGTAACGAATAAAGGCATCAACTGATACAAACAATTTTTTTGTTAGTCATTACATAATAACCATAATATATGAACACCCACCTCTGTTGCCCATAATATACTAGCAAAAACCAGAACAGCAAAGCATCTTGTTTGTTCCACTTGTTCGAATAATGAGCTATTTAGTAAATAAACAAAAATAGTTACACTCATCAATGCTATTCCAATAAAGGGTAACCTGTCCCTGGCTTCTGTTCCAGAAATTGAGAGATCATTGAATTTCTTTTCTTCCCTAATTCTGTCCATCCAAATCATTTTTTGGTCATTGGTCGCTTTTTCAGTCAGTAAAACTGACAAATCGACAACCCCGTCTTTTTTGTTGCTGTTGTATATTTGTTCCACCCGTCCAATCAGATCGTTTAAATAATCGCGCGTCTGTGCTTGAAAAGGATAAGCTTCTGTTACCTTGCGAAAGATGTAGATTTGGCTTTGTTTAGTGTCCATCACCTTGTCATATTTTTTTAGAATTTTTTTAAATGCAGTCAAATTTAAAGAAACAAATGATTTAAGCTTGGATAAATAGATGTAAAGATCGATCAATTTCGTCCTTGCACCCGCCATTAGATCTGGATCATCTTTCAGGTCCATTGTAATTGAAGTGGCGGAGGATCTATCAGTATCTGTAGTAGAAGAGGAGGAACCATGCGGAAGATCCGGATTTAAGTCCTGAATTGCAATCATCGCAGGCTCTGGCGGATAAAAACATGTCAAAATATGGTCCAATTCGACATTGGCCTCGCATTCTTTTTCAGTGTAGAATTGAATTATCTTTGCCAGCGAATCATCCAATGCTTGTATAAAACGGCCATGATCAGTATTACCAATAGGCAAAAGTGCAGTGGATTCATTCAATGAGGATTTTTTCTCTATTTCTAATGTGTAGATCAACGCCTTGAGCTGATGGTATCTAAGAACCGAACAAATAAATACATATTTTTTTTTTTCGAAACCAAGAATACTTACTGCAAATAATATTCAGACCACTCGGGAACAGCAGTGGATTGAATATAACGTGCAAATTTCATGTTTTATGTAAATAAATAGAAAGGAAAGAAACAAATAGAAAGAAGAAAAAAAGGGATGCAAGTTTCTTTTTTAAAGTGTTTTGATGTTGGTTTTTATTAATAAACAGTGACATCAAATCTACTTGTAAATTCTTTCGGGGATTCCTTGAGATTGCGCAGCCCATCTAGCGGCAATGAAGAGGAAATCACTTAATCTATTATTGAAAGCATTAGAAAAATAGATGTCATATAAACAAACAAACAACATAAAAAAAATAGAAGTTTCTTCTTACCTATTTAAAAAGATAGCAACTGATTTATCACAAAGACGGTCTCGAACCAAAGGCTGAACACGTCTCTCTGCACGACGACAGATTGTACGGGAAACATGCAATGTAGCACTCGCCTTGCCACCAGACTATTTTACAAGTAAATACATTGAAGCAACAAAAATAATTAGAGATAACACTTACGGGTAAAATGAATTGAGTCAATTTGGGTAATTCCTCATCATAGCCATCAATCCACTCTTCCAACATGGCAACGTCTTTTCCTTCCACATCAAAACTGGTTTTAGCTGAGACAAAATTCTTTTAGAAAACAATGGTTGCATCTCTATTTGTCTCCAGTACAAAAAAAAATTCAATATTTACCTAATCGAGCCTCATCAGATTGCTCACGAGGTGTTGCGAGGTTAGAGCCAACATCTTGTAAAAGACTTTGGATCTACGAAATCATTTCGTTACTATATACTTTAACAAGATAATAACAATATAAAAAAAACGAACCTTGACCAAACGCTCAATCAATTCATATCCCCAGTCAACATCTTCTAAATGTTCCATGGCCAAACTGAAAATATAAAAAACAGTTGTTAGTATTAGTATACTATCGATGTTTATTTATTTACCCAAGGTTAGATGTCAATTCATCAGTGGTACCTATTGAACACAAATATATCAATATACACATTCTTGTATATACATAGCACTCAACTGACCTAATGCCTCAAATATTTCATCATCCTTATCACGGCGGTCACCATTATACAAACTTGAGGTTCCTACGCCATTTTTATTAGAAACCCTTTCTTCTCCTTCTCTATATTTATCAAGAATGACGTGTTTTACCCTTGTCGCCTGTTTTCGTGTAGATCTTCATTGTTATATTTTTTAAAAGAAGTTGATTAAGAAAGACACGTTTTTTAAATTTGACACTTTTTTATCTTTTTTTTTTGCTTGAAAGTGCTAAAAAAAGATCATCTACTTTGAATGACGAATATCAAAAAAAAAGGACTGCTCAATGTCCGGCCGTCATACGTGTAACACGATTCCGAAATAGCTTCGGTCGTTGAATGCCGCCCTGATGGTACAAAGTAATCAAGAATATTTACAGTGCATGTTTCAGGTTTTCAGGGAAAGGAAAGGACCATTCTATTTTTCTTTAATACTCACATGATAAAATGGAAAATCAAAGGGTTACAGTTATTCTTTCTTTAAATACAAACCGAATCAACAAACCTAATCTGGCCAGACTCTGATGAACTGTGATACAAAACAGCAAAATCTTTTGTAGATGAGCACAACCATAACGATTCATTACAATAAACCAATTCATTATAGTAGATGGTTTTCTCTAAACAGAGCTAAATTGTCTTTGAATGACTAAACATTGTGCTATTTACTTGCTAGTCTAAAGTTACGTTCGTTCCCTATTTAGGCCACTGTTTTAGGATCGGCCTTTGAAGGGCAGATCTGTTCTTGACGAATAGGCCCTTTGTCTGTCATCTTCTTTTATATCAACTTGAGTTTTAATGACAATGATCGCCAAAGAATTTTGATGACATTCAACTTTGATACAAAAGAAAGATCTTGACCATAAAATATGAAAACGAAGGATCCGTGGACCAATATACAATTTAGCAAAGACAATGTGTCAGTTTATTACAATGGAGAAACTTTTTTTTCTTGGAGAGTTGGGTGGGGATATTAAAGAGGGGGATAAGGTTATATAAAATGAGTAAGTGAAAGAATTATATGGACAAATGTATGAATATTTTAAAGGTTTGAGGATCTAAAGTTCCTTTTGTTTGGAGAAGAATATTTTTCCCATTTCATAGCTGCTAACCATGATTGCACAAGAGGGGCCAATTTTAGCTACTCTGGGGGTTAATCCTCTGAATAAGCCCCTAACACCATCTTGCCGATAGATTTGTTTGAGGATAGCAGGAACTCTAGAGTCGCCTAATGAGGGTGTCTCTCTACCAACATCAACTTGTCTTCTAGTCTTTGCAACATCAAATGGTGTTGTAATGGCAGCAGCAAACTATAAAATATATGTTAATATATACTTTTTTATACAACCTAAGAGTTAATTGTACGTACCATGCCTGAAATGGCACCCGCAGCAAAAGAAACTTCGAGTTCGCTCAAAGCCAGGCGGTTAGACGATTCAAGAGTCACTTTGCATCTTTCATAACCCATCCAATAAATGGCAGAGAATGGGACATCTCTCCATAAGGTAGGAGGCAATCCTCTCCAGAGGGCTTTTGAACCGTCTTTTAATACCATGTTTCTAACACCATCAAGCACATCTATAAAAGGAAATTAGTATGCAAACGTGCACAAACATAGTGAGATAATAATTACGTTTAAAATCATTGACACCAGTAGTTGCAGTTGCTTGAAGTCTAGTGCGGAATAACTCAATAGGTGAGATCATCGTGACGGCAACTGTTCTTGCGAATGCACCAGCCAATAGGGGTGAATAATCAGCTTGGTTCGTTTGAGTAAAAGGTTGAATGATGTCTTTCAAATAGTCATAACCCACGAAATAAATGACATTGGCCGGAACAGACATCAACAATGCTGGTGATAATCCCTTCCATAATGCAGCTACACCTTCATATTTCACAATTTTGTAAATACCATCCTATTTGCATGGTTAAGTAACTTGATGGTTTTTAAAAAAGTGGTCCAAATTTATACTTACAAAGGTTCCTTTGAAAATTTGAGAATTTATTGCGGTACGTTGTAGAGCACATTCATGTAGTTTGGCTACTTGTACTTTTCCTCTGCTCGAAAAGGTCTTTTTGGTGAACTTCATGGCCTGCGTTAATGTACAACGGTCGAATGTTAAACAACAAGTGTTTTTTGCAAGGGGAGTGTAAACGTTTTGGGTCTGCAGTCTCATCTTTATAACGTCCATAGGTGTTACCATAATCGAAGTAACGAGAGCACCCCCACAAGCTGATAAAAGCTTTTCTGAGGAAGTCGTAGTGTATGTTGACATTATTTTTGTGGATAAAAAAGAATTAAAACAGAAAAACAGAAAATCTGATAAAGATAATATTTTGGGGGTCGAGGTAAATTCGTTTCATCTCCGACAGAAAGTGACTTCTGATGCACCAATCATGAATTGTATGCATGTTGCATGCAACTAAAAAGTTTAGACAAAAGAAACACTCATTAGCTATGATTTAAGTTAACAGTAATAAGTACCAGAGAATTATCTAAGCAAACATACACACGTAATAATACTTCACATACATATCACTGCTTGAGAGCAGGTGTACGGCAGATCTTACTAGTAAAAACGTACTTGTGGCATTTATTAAGTACGCTAAATGTTGCAGCGTTATTCTAAGAGACAGCCAGTTTTTTCTTTAGTTACAGCTAAAACTCACGTAGTTATAGCGTGAGATTAAGCATACTGGCTGACCTTAAGGCTTGGATACAGGAATATACAATAAGTGATAATGTGATGGCTACGGATGAATATATATCGACCAATTTGTATTGGTCATGATAACTTAACTGCTATTCGTTTACCCCTGTGCTTGTTTGATGTTAACATCGGGGATAAATACTACGAGAAAGTCGAAACGAGACATTGAAAGTAAGCTAAATACACACAGAAAGGATCATCAAATGTTTATGGTAGTGAATTCGCACATAATGTAAGGCGAAAGGTATACTAACCTTTTAATGACATCCCCTAACTCGAGATTTTGAGCTTTTCTTTGATCGGTGCAGCAAAATTTACTGTCTAAAATCATGCTGTGGCTTTGTCCTTTTATTTCGGTCAGGAGTTCAAAAGTTTTTTATCACTTTGTCTTACTTATCACTGCCATTAATTAGCCAAAGTTCTATAAATTATTTTGAATGAAGGATCAATTATTGATTAAATATACAGAGATAGAACACTGAATGGTTTTTACTGTGGTTATGGAAAGACTTGTAATTTTACCAAACCCCGAGTTTTCATCATTCTAATACTCTTCTTCACTATAGTAACAAAACCTAAATTTCAAAAGGGCAGCTATCGTTCTTCGAAAGTGGTGAGTGAAAGGCTTTTTTTTTTTTTACTTAATTCATGTTCTGTAGTTAAGTCATAGTGTAACTGTCATCACTTACGACATGCACGCTGTAATCACTACAAGATTGAAATGGGGTATTATCCTTTCGGTAAAGTCCGGACCGAACAGTAAATCTTCCGTTTTTTCTCCTTTTTCTGGGTTTGTATATTATCGGGATCTGTTGGATGAATGTGAGTGACATGGGACGGATTTCTGTGGAACCATCTCCAAAACGAAGGCCTGAAAAGGAAATGCATTAGTTGTGGAAAAAGACGTTCTTGCTTTGGGATTGTGTGTATGTGTGTGTTCTACATCTGTGTGTGTGTGTGTGTGTGTGTGTGTGTGTGTATGTGTGCGCGTGTGTGTAAATTGGTCTGCAAAATATGCTACACGCACTTTTGTTATGGCCCCTTCTTTTCTCCCTTCTTTTTTTTATAATTTTTTTTTATTCTTTGTATTACCTTTTTGTTTCTTTTTTTTTCTCTTTATAATAAAATGAGGAGTACACCAGGAGTACCGTTAACAATAGCGGAACTTCAGCTATCGTCGCCTCTACCTTCACCAAGTCGACAATCTGTATTAAATAATCATGCTCATACCCTTTCAAATATAATCAATAATAAATCTTCATCGTCATCATCTTTAGCAACTAATTCCTACAATTCAACACCTGATCTTGCATCCATCTCGACATTATCCAAATCAGTGATGCTTCCTCCTTTACAATTCGAACAACCCAACTCACTTCATCCTGATCTATACCCTTTAACTACCGCTAATACACCCAATGCCATGAAGAAGTTTACTTTCTTGGTTGATGGAAGACCTTGTTTATTTGAAGAAGTTAACGTATGGTTTTTATTTATTTATAAATAAAGATATAAAATTGCTTATTAATAATTAAAATAATAGACAAGCACAGTTACAAATACACCAAGAAAAAGATCTGCGTCTATATGGGATGACGATAGAAGTTTTAAACGCACAGAATTAGATAATGAAGCCCCTGATAATTTACCAACAAATGCTTCTTCACCCAACGACAATATGCCGGATAGTCCTAATTCTGCGCTACCATCACCTGTGTCAGATTTGGATGAATCATTTTATAGCGTAGAAGAAGATGAAGACATGATGATTGAACAGCAAATTACTGCTACGGAATTAACAACAACAACAGCAACAACAACAACGACAGCAGCAATGGACACGGATAGTTTGATAGATACATTTGATATGCTTCCAGACAATATTCAAACATATTTTATGTTTCAATTATTAAAAAGATCACCTCGTCACGCACTTCGATTAGCCAATGCGACAATTATGCAAGTCTTAAAATCGGACATCTTACTCAAATTACCACCCAAATTAGCAACCATTGTTCTTAGCTATCTCGATGTTAGATCCTTATGTCGTGCTGCATCCGTCAACAAGATGTGGTATACACTAATTGAAAATGCATCGACTGTTTGGGAATTAAAAATGCGACACGCAGATTTTAAACCTTCAACTAAAGAATTAATGGAGGCTGATTTTAAAAAGATTGTAAAAAGACACACCATCATGAGACGCAATTGGAAGCTAAATAGACATGACAAACTCATCCTGCAAGGCCATGAAGAAGATTTAGTTACCTGTTTACAATTCGATGACGAAAAAATTATTACCACAGGATCAGATGATCATAGCATTAATGTGTACGACATCAAAACTGGCGAATCCATTACAAAGCTTACGGGTCATGATGGCGGAGTCTGGGCCCTACAATACGTCGGTAACACGCTGGTGACAGGGTCTATCGATCGTACTGTACGCGTATGGGATATCAAAGAAGGACGTTGTAGATATATTTTGCGAGGGCATTTAAGTACCGTAAGATGCCTCAAAATAGTCATGCCAGAAATGATTGTCCAACCCGACGGTTCATCACGTTTAGAACCTAGTGAACCCATCATTATTAGTGGCTCAAGAGATACAACCATCAGGGTATGGAAATTACCAAACTTGGAGACAGAAGATGATATGCCATTGTCCACTTGTGTCGAAGATGACATGATATCTGAAGGTTTTTTAAAATACAAGTTGGCTGAGCATGACCATTCTGTACGTGATCTAGCTGTGCATGGAAATATTCTGGTGAGTGGAAGCTATGACAACAGTGTTATTGTATGGGATCTTGAAACTGGTACAAATGTACACACTCTCAAAGGTCACACGATGAAAGTATACTGTGTATCTATCGATCCCAAACGTCGACATTGCATCAGTGGAAGCTTAGATGCATCTGTTCGAATCTGGGGTCTCGACGATGGTGAATGCAAATTCGTCTTGCAAGGTCATTCCATCTTAGTCGGTCTATTAGGTCTAGTCGACGACTGCCTAGTCAGTGCTGCTGCTGATACTACATTAAGGATCTGGGATCCCTCTAATGGGGATCGTTTACATATTTTGGCTGGATCTTCCGGCCATCAAGGTCCTATTACTTCTTTTCAACATGATCGACATAAAATCATTTCTGGGTCTGAAGGAGGCGTGAAAATGTGGGACACTCAGACTGGTAAATTATTGCATGATCTTGTTGAAGGCGCTGCTAGTATCTGGAGGGTTTCTTTCGACGAAAGAAGATGTATTGCTGCCGTTAAGAAGTAAGTTTATCATTTTTTAATTTATATTTTGGTAGAAATCGTTACTCAACCTTTTTAGTAGTGATAACAAAACTCAACTTGTTGTGCTAGATTACGGTGTTTACGGCTTAGAATAAATTACTCAAATTTCGCTATCATACCCTCGCTACCTTTTTCTCTATCTATATTTTATAGAAAAAGAGTACTTATTATTATAAATCATTGCTTATTACGTATTTCAGTTTAGTTTGGATTGTTATATTTCTGTTTTCTTTTTGGTGGACCAATGGAAAATGAATGGAGCAGACAATGTAATTATGTGTTTCTAAAAAGACAAGTTTACACTAGTATGTTTACTACTTTTAATTGTCAAGAAAGCTGTATTTTGTGAGACAATGTTATTTCAATGGCATTGACACAAGACATACATTTATTACGATACTTGCTTAATTTAGCCATCGTTTTTCTGTTTTTATAATTAATGAAGTCATGAGAATTTATAGTCTTAACAAGCAATGTCAAATTGTTATCGATGGTCTTTACATAATTGACCCAGCTAAAGACAGTGGGCTCAACTTTTGCGTAATATTTTCTTGTTTTCGGTATGTCCATATGTAAACTAGGGAAACAATCCGCGCACTTTAATTTATACAAAAGCTGTCCGATTTGTGATTTAGTCTTGTTCATACATGAAAACAGCTCACAGAAATTAATCAACGCAAAAAAAAAAGTGTTTTATGAATTAAAATGCTTCTATATGAAATAATGAAAATGTGATTACAATAAAAATACGAAAGAGTTATTTTTCGATCTTAAAATGACCACGGCCAGCTAACATATCAATGATAGGTCTGTGTTCAGCCCACCAAGCGTTACGAGGTTTACGGTTCTTCATATCAGTAATGGGTAATAAATCAGTGACGGGTGTGAAGATAGCAGCACTACCACTGATACCAGCGACTGTCACAGATGCCTTGGAGTTTGTCAATTCAATAGGAACGGGGGATCCTGACTCGTGTGCCTTATCAAGCGCCTCAGCTGTATGTTCTTCAAAGAATTGGATGGAGCGAGTAGCAAGTCGGGTAGCTCTAATACGATCAAGAGGGGAAGGAGTTACACCTTGTTGAATATGACCCAAAACGGCTGTACGAGAATCAAACATTTCATCACCTTCTTCTTTAAGAATATCAGAAATAACTTCGGTAGTATAGGTCTTGGAGACATCTTCGGTACGCAAAATGATTCTGCCTTCACTCTTATCGGGATCATCATCGGTATACATGGCTCTTAAATGTTCAACATCGGATTGGAGACGACCGAGATTAATACCTTCCTCAGGGATGTATACTGTATTAGCACCCACAACAAGACCACCTTCCACAGCCAAATAGCCACTACGACCACCCATGACTTCAACAACAAACACACGACGACGCGATGACTGAGCAGATTGAACGATAGCATCACAAGAGTTGACAATAGCGTTTAAAGAAGTATCTGAACCAAGAGAGTAATCGGTACCAGGAACGTTATTGGAGATGGTGGCAGGAATTAAAGTGATGGGGATACGGAGACTAGGGTATTGATCACGAGATGCCTCCAACTTTTCAATAGCAACAAAGGCTTCGAAACCACCCACAATCATAAGGGCTTGAATATTATTCTTTTGGATTTGATATGTCACCATACCCATATCAATATCCTCACCAGGAACAGCACGGTTTGTACCTAATTCTGATCCACCAAGTGCGGTCCAACCATCCACACCCATCCAGGTCATTTCACTCATTGATCCACGAGCAAGACCAGCAAAACCATTGTTGACGGCAATAGGTGTATGGCCACGGTTAAGACAGTAACGGACAGCTGTACGAGTGGCAGCGTTCATACCACCAGCAGGTGCACCCATGTGAATAATAGCAATACGTAATTGTTGATGAGCTGGTAAACCAAGAGAGCAATCATCCAAGATTGTGGTTGCATGATAGGCTTCATATTCCTCAGCGAATTGGGGATCACGAAGTTCCATAGCACGGGCAAAGTTCTTTTTACTGATGGCTTCAGCTACTTCATGGGTCAAGGCAACAGCCTTCATAAGAGGGAAACGAGTGATTTTGTTATCAGTCATGCCAATCATGGGAGAAGGTGTATCAGCAGTAGCTTCAAGTACGGCATCCACAGCTTCAAGACCTTGTGTAGTGGCCAAAAGACGATCAAAGAAAGCGGGGGCACCACCACGTTGAGTATGACCCAAGATAGTAACACGAGTATCAAGACCAAGGCGGTCGGTCAAGATGTCCTTGAGATAATCAGCCTTGATTGGGTTCAAGTTTTTATCGATAGCACCTTCAGCAACAATAACAACCGTCTTTCTCTTACCTAAATGACGATGACGTTCCACAACTGAACACATCAAAGACTCCCAATCTTCTTCCTTGGGTGGCTTCTCAGGAATGAAAACGAAATCCGCACCCGTAGCAATACCAGCCATCAGAGCTAACCAACCACAATGACGACCCATCACTTCAATAACAAATGCACGAGAATGAGATAAAGCGGTAGTAGAAACGGCATCCACGGATTCACAGATACGATGAAGAGATGTTACAGCACCAATGGTGATGTCAGTAGATGACATATCGTTATCAATCGAACCGACAAGACCAACAATGGTCAAAACATGATAGGCATTTGCCTGTTCCTGACTGATACGCTTGGTCTTTAAAAGTTCATCCACTAATCCTCCCCATTCATTACGGAAAAGATCAGCGCCGGTTAAGGAACCATCACCACCGCAAACAATCAAGGCATCAATACCGTTTAAAACAAGATTCTCGGCTGCCTTAAGACGACCTTCACGGGTCTTAAAGGGCATACAACGAGCTGTACCGATGGTTGTACCACCCTACCAAAAACTCGGTTATTATTTCCCCCTCTCTATTTCGGTTTAACTCAACCCCATGTATACTTACAACCGCTAACCATCCACGAACACTCTTCCAATCCATCTTTTTCAAGAGATCACCACCATCCACAAGACCTGTTTAAAGCTCAGTAAGACTTATGTGACGGTTTCCAAGAAGAAAAAAATGATTTACCTTGATAACCTTCATACACAGCAAAAATATCACAGCCCTTGGTGATACCATAACGAACAACGGCACGAACAACAGCGTTCATACCGGGCGCATCACCACCTGAGGTGAGGACAGCAATCTTTTGACGCTTACCAGAAGCGGTGGCGGTTTCAACAGCAGCGGCAGCACTTGTTGCTTTTAAAATGGCAGGCTTGTTTGTTAAAAGAATGATATTGTTCAAAGGATCTAATACATAAAGTTTTGTTGAGTTTTTGTCGGAATGATCTTGATCAGGTGCATCCAACTCCTTCAATTTAGATTTGACAGCCTAAAAAAAAAAAGATCTGTGAATAAAAAATTTCATTCTCTTCTTATCGATGAAATATAATAAATACAAAAAAAAAAAAAAAACTTACGTCAATGTTATTGATGCTAAATGCAAGAGCATGCTCTTCTAATGACCAATCAGTATCACCTGCAGGTTTGCGTTGTGGGATAGCGGAGGCGGTCAAAATAACTTTGATGGATACGGTGGAAGCTAATTTCAACCAAGCAACCCTGGTATCCTCTTCAGGTGAATCCGTAATGCTCTTGAATCCAAGAGACTTGTAAAAAATTAAAGTGCGTTCAAAATCTTCCTTATTAGACGCGTTGAAAATGATATGCGAAAGACCTTGAGCAAGCATTTTTTATATATATCGGGTTGTATAATAAGATAAAGAAGAAAAAAAAAGAGGGAAAACTGAATCCGAAAAGATGAGATTTTATATATCGATTATGAGACCTTTTTTAGACTTGCATTCATGGGTTTATCATTTGAATACAGTGGGATGATTTTGTGTGACGTTGCTTTTTTTTTTTTTTTTTTTTTTTTTTTTTTAAAAAAAAACCTTTTAGGCAACAAGCTTGACAGGACTCTGTCTTTCTAGAAAATTTAAAAATAATGTATGCAGAATGCCTTTAAATGAATGGCCATAAAATCTTGGCTGGCCTGAGCGTTATAGAGTCAAAATGAATAAAATGACAGGTGCCAAAAGATTTCTCAAAGATAAGATTGTTCTACACAAGTGCACAATCGATTACATCGATAGTGCACCTGTTTCATGAACGTATCATATTTTCTCTATTTTTTTCTCTCTCGTTCTTTAGAAGACTTTAACTTTTAATTTACTTGCTGAAGGTAATGCCGTAAACGCCTGGTCAGTACAACATCTGTCTTTTATAAACTACTTGTACCAACCGTAAAGTGATCATTATCAAGCGGGGATGAAACAGATTTGGTTGCCCGCCACTGATACATTTCGTCATTGCCCCAACACAGATATGCATTAAGTTTTTTTAGGGACGTGATTTTTTTTTGTAATAAACATTTTGACTTCAGCATATCTGATGCAGTAGCGGCAAACGAGTAATTCTCATTAAAGTTTTATATACAGCTTTTTAAATAAATATGCCCATACAAAGACAACTTTTTATTATTATCCGACTTCTTCAGCCATGATACGCTTAACATCAGCTGAACTACACAAATATAAGCGTATTTTAGATAAGATTGTTTGTTAAATTACAACAGCTGCTATACTGAAAACCCAAATACGTGATCAAATCACTAGATAAATTTATCGGACAGTGTTACAGCCAAAATGGTCATCAGCAACATCATAAAAAAAAGTATCCGTATTTTCATCCTTCGTCCCTAAACGCTTAAATGAGTCTGTTTTAGCAGATTCAAAACTAGGCCAATGTGTTTGGCAACAGTGATTCTCAAATGTAAGACGGAAGTTATAACTTATTACTCATGGGAAACGAAATCCTTTCAAGGTGAAAGGTACCTTTAATTTTTTTTTAAACAACAGCAGCCACTTTAATCATAGAAACAATAAGGCGCTGTGCTTTCTTATTTTCAACCTCTTATGTAGATCATCCGATTTAGAAGAAAGAACCTTTGAAAGGATGCAGATGAAAGACTATTGTTAAAATGTTGACTGAACAACATAGTTGTAATAAGCCAAACAAATAAGTTATTTGCCATTATCAATAAAATTTAAAAGAAAGGGACAAGAGTGTTTCACATCATGCTTAATCTAATCAGAATAAGCATTTATTTTCTGAAAAAACTATTCTATTCAACAAATTACGTCCAACTTTACATTACAAGGCGTTTAAAATTGTTGTTATTAATGAATGCGATATAAAATAATGCAAAGACGTTTTTCATGTACAAATCGATTACAATCCTTTCTATTCCCAAGTTGATGTGAGCCTTTACCGTGCAACAAATTATTTGCTAGTCTACTCTTGCCAATAAGTGATTGGAAATCCAATGTGAAAAAACTTCATATTTTACCCCTAACAGCCGGATCTCGTTCATTCACAGTGGAAACCTTTAATTTAAAATTTTTACTACACTATGTTTTAGTGGAAAATATGCATTAAAAGCTGCTTCTTACTCCCGTAAAACAACAAAGTATCTGATGCTATAACCCAGTATTCGACTTTTATTTTGCCATGTTCCATTTTTTTCACTTGGCATGCTATTTCCGTTTGAACTTTTCATACAATAAACCGTCGTCCCCGTAAGTACCAAAAAGCCAAAGAAAAAAAAGTTCAGAATTGTTTAAAATATTATATGTATTGGATTGCTAGGTTTTGATTTTAAGATTTTTTCCAAAAGACGTCAAAGCAGAAAGGGTATATCTCGAGTAAAATGACAAAATTTACAAATGTACCCTTTAGGACCTCTTCTTGTGGATTTTCTAAAAAGTGTTTTTAGGTAACTAGAACCAAATTTAACGTTTTTCTATTGGTAGCATTAGTGAAGCAGTTTTACTATAACAACAATTAAATCTAGTGCATAATTAGAAATACAGTTTTTACTAGACATGTCAGTTTGCTTTGTAAAATATACGAAACAATGCGCCCTTTAATTAAAAATGTTTTGTACATACATTTATTTTGATTAAATTATAGTATCCAACGACTTTGCATGGACACGAAATTTATGCAATGTTGTTTTTAATCAAACTGAATATATAAAAAAAAGAATACTCCACAGGCATCGTAATTTAAAACAGTATCACCCTTTATGGGTTATTTTTGACAGTTTTGTGTACTATGAGGTTGTCCTGGAGTAAATAACTGAAGATGGGATAATTTTTCTCAAAAACGTGGCAGAGTTGGCCTATAGTTTAAAATAACTGCATGGTCCTTGTTTTACATTATTTTTTTCAAGCAAGAAGCTACTATAAAACTAAAATGTTGAAAGTTATTGTGGATTAGAAATATGTCTCATAATATCCAAGTAGTGGTATTATGATTTCGCTTAACTGGATAATCCGTATCAAATTTTAGTACGACACTCCTTTTTTCTTATTTGGTAGCGTATTGGGTTCAATATTACTTCAAATGTTCTCCCAGCTCCCCTTACAAAAAGACTAATATTCTAAATTCATCAATTGACCAAACTTTAAATTTTTTTTTGGGGGCATTTTCTTTTATAAAAATCTTGTGTCAATTAATTCCTGATATGTGGGACCACTTACAGAGATAAAAAAAGCATCGGCTTTGCTTGAGTCTGCTCAGCATCATGTACCACCATAAATCGAAGTCTAATAAGACATGGAATATGGGTGGTTTCACCAAATATCTCGACTTTGTATATTTTTATACACATGGTATTAAAAAATGGATATAAGTTCGTGAATTTTCGAAATAAAAAGCTAAGTCAGGTGCGGGACCACAGTTTGGGCATTTGATGAGTGCTACAAATGCATATTCCTCAGCCTAATAAATTTCATTCATAATACTTATTATATGTATGGGTGATTAGAGATATGTACTCGTTTAATATGTTTATTATATAGACCACATTGTAGGGTACATTGGATGAGCGTCTTTAAAAATTTGAGTTGGTTTTTGGCAGGCAGAGCAACAAGATGTGCTTTCTATGATCGCAGCGATCAACATTTCAATTTTTGCCCGAATATAGATAGTCATTTTAAACTACTTATTTGTGTAGAACATAAGCTGTTTACTTTCAGGTTTCTATCTTAAGAACACCCTATCCTATAATCATCTGAAAAAAGACAACGATTTAGGCCTTAGCATTTTTGTTTAAATCGCAATTACTGGTTTACTGGTAGTGTTTAGCTCTAACATAATATAAAGGGATTTTAAGTTTTATTTTAGGACGTTTGAACCACGTTGCTGCGGTTGACACTATTTTTAAATAAATTTCTGTTTATTCTCAGTGTTTGTCTGTGTACACATTGTAGCGCAACTTCAAGGGATTACATCATTTGCTAGATCGTTATAAGGTTTGGTGGGGAAGCGTATTAGGATAACACATATTGTAACAACGGTTGTTAACCTTTCTTTATCAGTATTTCACTACTTAATTATTTTTATAACAAACTAGAAAATAAGAAAACATGCCAATCATGAGGCGCGTAGTTGGCTTACGAAAACTAAATTAATTGATACATCTCTGGTAGGAAACGTGGGTTCTTGTTTTTATGTGCACAATGCAGACACGTGATTGTGCAACTAATTGGATTACGTGTGTACAACAAATTGTCTTCCGGCTTTGTAAGTATGCACATTTAGGTGATGTATCACGATTTGGCCTTACTGGTAAAACTTCATTTAACGTAAAATCCTATGCATCGTTAAAATTAAATGCTAGAGGATTGTCTGTTGGTGTAAATCTAAAATCTTTCTTGTAATGACTTTTCTAGCAAAACATTCTAGATTTCCAGAATATGTCCCTCAGGCAGCAGTTGAAACAGTTATAAAACCTATTGTGGAAGTGAAACTGTTGGATTTATTAGCGTAGGCATTGGTGATGGAGGTGATATGCAGCGGCACTGGGGGTGGTCACTGTTACGCTACACTAAATATCATAAATTAAAGTGCCTGATTGTTAAAAAAAATAATAGAGGTGTAAGATCGCATATTAAATGTCTCTAAAATTTAAAGTAGCAGTGCTCACATTCGAAAAAGGACATGCTCAGCATTAAGGGCTACGTTTTGGTGTATCAAAGAATCAAAAGATTGCTCCGATTACTGTTGGAATAAAATGCATATAGAGATCAAGATCTCGGATTCATTTTTGTAACTAACTAAAAAACGGTAATTCAGCGAGTATTTAATCGTCATTTTTTTTCGAAGAATATATGTTCGGACTGCCGTGCTACAAATTACTCTTTCTCTAAAGTTTAGGTTTTTGTATTTTTTAATCTTAGCAACGATTTACTTAAAAAATGCACATAATTGGTGAAAGTTGAAGTTCGAACATAACTTTCCACTATCTTTGTGCAACAACAACGAATTTTATAGCGGTGAGCCCACTACTTAGGGCGGTGAAAACCAGCCCCCATAACTCACTGTTGATATCTATACAAACGCATTATAATGACTGTTACAGTTGGCTTAGCTACTGTCACTAGCTCTATTCGTCATGTGATTTTGTTTTTTAATTTATTTTTAGAATAAAGTAACACTAGTAAGCAAGCAAGCCAATCAGGGAGATATAAACGGTTTTATTGAGCTAACCCGCTTTAATTGATATTCATTTTTTAAAAATATATCGTTTGTAAGGTACAGCGTTCTCAATTTGTATGTGTACAGTATAGACACATGATTGTGCAACGGAAAACATTATGTGTATATAAAAACTGGTTTGTAGATTCGAGACATTTCCCCACACAATAAACTTGTTTACTACTTTTCAATTAAAATTTCATTTGTAAGTTACTTTATTTATTTCAGGGATTTTATTTGAAGGAGCAAGAAAAACTAATGTCAACTGCCTTTATAAAGTTGCTTTTAACGTAGTTAAATGGTACCTAGATTAAACAGCACATTTGAAATATCATCTGCTAAGCAATTGGTTTGTAGTTTAGTTTATCAAGAGGAAAATAGACCTTTACTGACTTTCTAAAAGCACTCCAAACGAATCGAACCGAGCTCTGTTATACCTGTCAATTCCAGGTATGGTCATACGGCTACATTTGATCCCAGCAGAAAAATTATTTATTATTTGGGTGGTCAAGAATTCCTGAATGATCCTGATACTATGACATATACGAGTACTTATGTCGATTTTACGAAAATTCTGCATTACAACACAGAAATGGGCATATGGGACACAAAAATTACAGGTGGCTCCGTGTTCCCAACAAACAGGATGTTTCATACTGCTAATTTAGGTACATATAGTTTCATTATTTTTAGTGAATCCTCATTAACATTTTTTTGCATTTAGCTCATGACTCGGACTGTATAATCATATACGGAGGTGCCGAATCTGATAGTAATGGTGGTAGGTAGATTTAATAGTTCGTGTTACATGCCATTGTGTTAAACAATTAAATTACAGATTATACGCCAGTCGCCGACTATTTATATACCTACAATATTGAATTAAATACATTTGACATTGTTCTTATTAAAGAAGCACAAATAGACGCTGGACCACGATATGGCCATACAGGTAAAGCACCCCCAAAAAATGTGATTGCACGTCGTCCTAATACTCATCTGATTTCTTTCATAAAAAAGCCGTTATCGTCAATAAGAACGCATTATTCATTACGTCTGGCATAAATTCCACATTGATAGCTTCACCTGATTCCTTTGTTCTGGATCTCGAAGATTATTCCTGGCAGAAGAACGACTACTATTTTAATACCACGCCTAATGACACTTTCAAAAGCTCAATTAATGTACAATCCCATGCATTGTTAAAAAGAGAAATTGGAGGACTGCCTGATGGTCTTTTTGCTGCACTCATGGCTCTTGTGTTTCTTTTGGTAATATGCACTATTTTCGAATTATATCCAGTTGCTCATTTTCTTTTTCAGTTTGCTGGATTAGCAATAGTATTTTGGCGTAAGTCAAAAAGAAACAAATCACCTCCAAAAACAAAACCATATCAAGAAAGTCATGGTAACAGAACGCACCATGGCGGTGCTATTATTGGCTTTGGTGGTGTAGGCCATAGTGGTGGTGGAGGAGGCTATAATGGTGGTGGAGGAGGCTATAATGGAGGTGGAGGAGGCGATGGAGCAGTCTATAGTGGAGGTGGAGGAGGCGATGGAGCAGTCTATAGTGGAGGTGGAGGAGGCGATGGAGCAGTCTATAGTGGAGGTGGAGGAGTCGATGGAGGAGGCTTTATTGGAGGTGGAGGAGTCGATGGAGGAGGCTATATTGGAGGTGGAGGAGGCCATAGTGGAGGTGGAGGAGGCCATAGTGGTGGTGGAGGAGGCCATAGTGGAGGAGGTGTAGGCCATAGTGGTGGTGGAGGAGGCCATAGTGGAGGTGGAGGAGGCGACGGAGGAGGCTATAGTGGAGGTGGAGGAGTCGATGCCGGAGGAGGAGGAGGCGGCGGCGGCGGCGGAGGCTGGTAATACAATGAAGACTTATAATAAATAAATCATACATTTTCTTAGCACCAAAAAGCTTATTCAATACGATTATCTACAAAAAAAGTTTTGTCTGGATCAATTCAAACACTTTCTTCAGAAATGTAATAAATAAGAACATTGTAATCGGTTACAGGCTAAACTTCTTATTAGATGTGACATTATTATTCACAGAAGGCATGGCTAGCTGTAACAAAAAATGAAAGGTGCGAGATTTCCTTAACTGTAATAACGTGCCATGGAAACTCATGGACACTCAAGAAAAGCCACAGGAAAACCGTCATAGATGATGATCTACACAAAAAACTTGGCTTCTGAAAAGTATAAAAGCAGACCAATTTTAACTCCATTTTCATTTTTTTTCTCCTTTTTTTTTCTCTTCATGCTGGGTCTGGGGCTTTTGGGTTGTTCTCATTTGTGGGGGTGTACTTTGAGGTCTCCTGTGCGGGTCTCCAGTGGGCTTCTGTGGCTATCTTCGGGTATTTTCAGCGGCTCTCTGTCGGCACGAGCAAGGGATTTCTAACAACTTTATTTATCTAATAAAAATGAAAAGAAACCACTAACAAATCATGTTATATGTTAGTATCGAATATTAAGAAATTTAAATCTAGAGCTCATTAAACATGATCGTTTTTTTATATTTGATGCATTGCTGATCATGTCTATCGAAAATAAAAACCTTAAATTTAGAACTTTTGCTATGCAGTTCCCTAGTGCAAAAAATGCTCTGAAAGCGTCTCACGTTCCCATGATGAGAAAAAGGTTCTAGTAATATCAGTGTCTCTTTTTGTTTTGTCCCTTTTTTATCACCTGATATGACGTTTTCAATTGCATTTTTCATATATGCAGTAAAGCATTAAACCCCCCAAAAAAATCTTAGAATTATCTAAAATATCATATGGGATCGTTAGGTTTTGATTTTAAGATTTTTTCCAAAAGACCAAAGCACAAAGGGTATACCTCGAGGAAAATGTCAAAATTTACAAATGTACCGTTTAAAACCTCTTCTTGTAAATTTAATGAAAAGCTTTATTAGGTGACTAAAACCAGAATCTAACGTTTTTTCTATTGGTAGCATATTGAGGCAGTTTTACTATAACAACAATTAAATCTAGTGTGTAATTAAAAACATGGTTTCTGTTAGACAAAGTTTATTTTTTTACATATTAATTTGCTTTGTAAAATATACGAAACAATGCGCCCTTTTATTACAAATGTTTTTTATAGACATTTATCTTGCCAAATTAAAGTATCCCACGACTATGCATTGACACGAAAATTATATAATGTTGCTTTTAATCAAACTAAATAAGAAAAAGAATACGCCACGGACCTCGGAATTTAAAAAGGGTATCGCCCTTTATGGGTTATTTTTGACAGTTTTGTGTACCATGTGGTTGTCCTAGAGTAAATATCTGAAGATGAGATAATTTTTCTCAAAAACATGGCAGAGTTGGCTTATAGTTTAAAATAACTGTATGATCCTTGTTTTGCATTATTTTTCTCAAGCAAGAAGCTATTATACAACTAAAATGTTGAAAGTTATTGTGGATTTGAAATCCGTCTCATGATATCCAAGTGGTGATTATCATTTCTCTTATCTGGATAATCTGTACCAAATCGTAGTACGACGCTCCTTTTTTCTTACTTAATAGCGTATTGCATTTAATACTACTTCAAAATGTTTTCCCAGCTCCCCTTACCAGAAGGCTGGTATTCTTGATTCATCGATTGAACAAGTTTTAAATTTTGTTCTGGGGTATTTATTAAAAGACCTAGTATCGTGTCATATTAATTCCTGGTATGTGGGACCAGTTACAGAGATCAAAATCATTATCGGCTTTGCTTGAGTTTGCTCAGCATTATGTACCACCATAAATCGAAGTCTAAGAAGACATGGGATATGGGTGGTTTCACCAAATATCTCGACTTTGCAAAAATTTATACATGCGGTATTAAAAAATGGATATAAGTTCGTGACTTTTCAAAATAAAAAACCACGTCAGGTGCGGGGCCACAGTTTGGGCATTTGATGAGTGTTACAAATGCATACTCCTCAGCCTACTAAATTTCATTTATGATTCTTATTATAAACATGAGTGATTAGAGATATGCACTCGTTTATCATATTTAGTATATAGACCACATTGTTGGATACATTGGATGAGCGTGTTTAAAATTTTGATGTGGTTCTTGACAGGCAAAGCAACAATAGGTGCTCTCAATGATGGACCCATTTCGGAGCGATCGACATTTTGATTTTTTGCCCAAATTTAGATGGATATTTCAAACAATTTTAGTATTATTTCTGGTGTAAAATTGGGCTGTTTACTTTCGTTTTTTCATCGAATGTTTAATCCCATAATTACCTGAAAAAAGACGACGATTTAGGCCTTATCTTCGACGTTTACATCGTAATTGCTGGTACAATTTAAATAGATTCCAAGTTTTATTTTTAGGTAGTTTGGATCACGTTGCTGTGATAGCTGTTATTTTCAAATAACGTTTTATTGATTCTTAGTGTTTGTTTATATACATATTGTAGTGCAACTTCAAGCGATTACATCATTTGCTGGATTGTTATGAGGTTCGATAGGAAGTGAGCAAATTGGAATATCACGCTATTAACTAGATCAATGATTTATAGCGTAGCAACGGTCGCTAGCTTTTTTTATCAGCTTTCCACTACTTATTTATTTTTAGAACAAACTGAAACACAAGAAAAAATGTCAATCATGAGGCAAAAACAGTTGCGTGGGGTTAGCAGACTACAGTTAAATGAATTGATACATATGTGGTAGGAAATTTTGGTTCTAATTTTTATGTGCACAATGCAGACACGTGATAGTGCAATTAATTGGAGTACGTGTGTACAACAAATTGTCTTACGACCTTGTAAGTAAGCACTAAAAGGCACATGTAGATGATGGATCACGATTTGGCCATACAGGTAAAACTTCATTTGGCGTAATATTCTATGTATCGTTAAAATTTAATGCTTGAGGATTGTCTGTTGGCGTAAATCTTACGACTTTTCCTGTTATAGCCTTTCTACCAACATATTCTAGCTTTCCAGAATGTATAAAGACACTAACAGTTTCTATTTACCTCATTCTAAACCCCAGGCAGCGGTTAAAACAGTCATTAAAAAACCTATTACGGCAATGGAGTTGTTGGCTTTATTTCCGCATATATTAATGACGGAGGTAATTTGAGGCGTCAGTGAGTGTATTGACTGTTAATTTACATTATATGTCATGAATAAAAGTACCTGGCTGTTAAAAAAATTAAAGAGATGTGTGATCGCATTATACATATTATATCTCTAAAATCCAAAGTAGCGGTATTTACATTTGAGAAAGGACACGGTCAGCATTAAGTGTTACTTTTTGGTCTGCCAAAAAGTTAACGGACTATTAAAATTACTGTTGGAAAAGAATGGCTACAGAGATACTTGATCTATGATTCATTTTTGTAACTAACTAAAGGGTAATTCAGCGAATACTTCATCACTATTTTTTTCCGAAGACTATATGGGTCGGACTGTTGAACAACAAAATACTTTGTCTTTAAAGTTCTGGTTTTTGTCTTTTTAATCGTAGGATTATAGACTAAGTCAGAACAAATACAAAATTGATAAAGGTTAAAGTTCGAACATAATTTCCACTATCTTTGTGCAACAACGAATTTTATAGCGGTGAAAACCACTTCTTAGGGTGGTGAAAACCAGCCCCCATAACTCTGGTGATTTCTATATAAACGCATCATAATGTCTGTTAAAGTTGGCTTAGCTACTGTCACTAGCTCTATTGGTCATGTGATTTTGTTTTTTACTTATTTTTAGAATAAAGTAACACTATTAAGCAAGCAAGCCAATCAAGGAGACATAAATGGTTTTATGGAGCTAACTAGTTTTAATTGATATTCATTTTTTAAAAAATATATCGCTTGTAAGGTACAGCGTTCTCAATTTGTACGTGTACAGTATAGACACATGATTGTGCAACGGAGAACATTATGTGTATATAAAAAACTGGTTTTTAGATTTAAGACATTTCCCTACACAATAAACTTTTTTACTACTTCGCAATCTAAATTTCATTTGTAAGTTACCTTTATTTCTTTTAAAATTACATCAGAGCTTTTATTTGAATGAGCAAGGAAAACTAATGTCAATTGTCTTTATAATATCTACTTTGAAGATAAATGGTATCTAGATTAAACAACACAACTGAAATGTTATCTGCTAAGCAATTGGTTTGTAGCTTGATTTATCAAGAGGAAAATAATCCCTTTACTGACTTTATAAAAGCATTCCAAACGAATCAAACCAAGGTCTGTTATACCTGTCAATTCCAGGTATGGTCATACGGCTACATTTGATCCCAGCAGAAGATTTATCTATTATTTGGGTGGTCAAGAATTCCTGAATGATCCTGATACTATGACATATACGAGTACTTATGTCGATTTTACGAACATTCTGCATTACAACACAGAAATGGGCATATGGGACACAAAAATTACAGGTGGCTCCGTGTTCCCAACAAACAGGATGTTTCATACTGCTAATTTAGGTACATATAGTTTCATTATTTTTAGTGAATCATCATTAACATTTTTTTGCATTTAGCTCATGACTCGGACTGTATAATCATATACGGAGGTGCCGAATCTGATAGTAATGGTGGTAGGTAGATTTAATAGTTCGTGTTACATGCCATTGTGTTAAACAATTAAATTACAGATTATACGCCAGTCGCCGACTATTTATATACCTACAATATTGAATCAAATACGTTTGACATTGTTCATATCAAAGAAGCCCAAATAGAAGCTGGACCACGATATGGCCATACAGGTAAAGCACCCCCAAAAAATGTCATTGTACGTCGTCTTAATATTCATTTGATTTCTTTCATAAAAAAGCCGTTATCGTCAATAACAACGCATTATTCATTACGTCTGGCATAAATTCCACATTGATAGCTTCACCTGATTCCTTTGTTCTGGATCTCGAAGATTATTCCTGGCAGAAGAACGACTACTATGTTAATACCACGCCTAATGACAATTTTAAAAATTCTCTTTATGTACAACCCCATACATTGTTAAAAAGAGATATTATTGGAGGACTGCCTGACAGTATTTTTGTTATAATCATCGTTATTGTGTTATTTTTGGTAATATATACTTTTTTTCGATTTATATTCAGTTGCTAATGTTTTTTAAAGCTCCTTGGTTTAGCAACAGTATTTTGCTGTAAACTAGAAAGAAATCCATCACCAAAAACAATACCATATCGAGAAGATCGTGGTAACAAAACGAATCATTACCACATGTTTGTTGCCCATGGCGCAGGAACTGATGGCGGAGGTGGAGGAGGAGGCGGAGGAGGCGATGGCGGAGGTGGAGGAGGATGCGGAGGAGGCGATGGCGGAGGCGGAGGCGGAGGCGGAGGTTGTTAACACAATGAAGACTTATAATAAATAAAACATACATTTTTTATCACCAAAAAGCTTATTCGATACGATTATCTACATAGAAAAATTTGTCTGGATCGATTCAGGCGATGTCTTCAGAAATGAAATAAAAAAGAGTATTGTAAACGGATACGGGCCAAGCTTCTTATTAGATGTGATATTATTATTCACAGAGAGCATGGCTAGATATGACAAAAAATGAAAGGTGCGAGATTTCCTTAACTGTAATAAAGTGCCATGGAAACTCATGGACACTCAAGAAAAGCCACAGGAAAACCGTCATAGAGGATGATCTACACAAATAAATTGGCTTCTGAAAAGTATAAAAGCAGACCAATTTTAACTCCATTTTCATTTTTTTTCTCCTTTTTTTCTCTTCATGCTGGGTCTGGGGTTTTGGGTTACTCTCACCTGTGGGGATACCTTGAGGTCTCCTGTGAGGATCTCCAGTGGGCTTCTGGGGGGTATCTTTGGGTATTTTCAACGGTTTCCCGTCGATGCAAGCAGGAGATTTCTAACGATCTTATTTTATAGAATGAAAATGAAAAAAACCGCTTATTAAACATGACCTTTTTTCTATAATTGATGCATTACTGATTATGTTTATTGAAAGTAAAGATCTAAAATTCAAGACTTTTGATATACTTATTCAAGCGTTTACACGCTCCCGTGATGAGAAAAAAATGCATACCGAATATCAGTTTCTCTTTTGTTTTGTTCCTTTTTATCACTTGATATGCTGTTTTGAATTGAATTTTACATATAGTAAACTGTCGTCCCCATATGTCCTTTCAAGCCAAAAAAATGCTCAGAATCATCTAAAATATAATATTGGATCATTAGGTTTTGATTTCAAGTTTTTTTTTAGAAGACCTAAAATTGACCAAAACACAAAGGGTATACCTCGAGGAAAATTCGAAATTTTGCAAATGCACCTTTTAAATACCCTTCCTGTAGATTTCATAAAAAGTGTTCTTAGATAACTATAGCCTAAATTTAATGCCTTTTACACTGGTGTTGCTTCTAGAGCAATTTGATTATTAGAAACATTATATTCAACGCATAGTTGAATAAATAGTTTCTGTTAGACAAAGTATTTTGTTTGCATATGGAATTAGTTTTTTAAATACATCAAAAGATGCACTTAAAAATTTGGCACATTTTGGGTATATAATTATCTTAGAAAAAGTTTGATATCCAGCGACTTTACATTGGCATGAAAATTACAAAATCTCATTTTTGTTCAATTCGGTTCCAAAAAAAAAAAATGAATCAATACGCCACATGGCCCGGAGTTTGAAAGCTGCAGCTTCTGGCTATGGCCACCAGTAAAGGTATGATACTTCAATGCTGCCCTTGTGGATAACTAATGTGGTTGTCAATTACCGGGATCAACGTTGGGAGTCTAAAAGACTTACTAAATGGACGTGTGTGTCACATTGTTGTTACATAATACCCCTCCTCCGCCATACTTTTTGCAACGTTTGCTAGTTTCGAACTTGTCTTTATACAAATATGTGTGTCTTAACCTCTTTTTCTCAAAAAAGAACGACCCTGCCAATGTTCACTTAAATAAGCTAATTTTGAAATGGATGCACGATTAAAGCTTTCTTTCGTTGTCAATGTAAACACTTTATTGGGGATTAATACAATATAATTTCGCGAACTTGAGTTTTGTGAGATTTCGACACGGCGATTGTCCTGAACTATTAAATAAATTGAGTAGCTTTCCTGAGTCAAAAAGAATGCATTGTGTTCGGTTGAGTTGGTCTTTTAGTGGGTTTGTCGCTTTTGGTTCAGGTACATGCTGCCTTCTTTTAAGGTAGAGTCGTTTTACTTTTACTATAGAAAGCGCACCTTTAAAAGCTGGAGGTAGGACTGTGTGTACGCCACTTTTGCCTTATTGAGAACGCGAGTTTTAGAAAGTGTAGATACTGCTTTTATAGTCTCTATAAGTATTATACACAGCTTTACAACTATATTTTTACATGCAGTTCACTGTCAGAAATGATGTCAATTTCACATCAGAAACTGCCTGTAATTGTTTCATTAAAGTGTGCGTGTGTGTGTATTTGTACACTTGCAAAAAGCTTAAATTCAATGTCATCTAACACCGTCTACCAAACCGTGAGAGCGATCAAATAAGAATGACGATAATCAGCATCCAACTATTATTGACTAAGAATAAAAAGCAAAGGGAAAGTAATTTTTTATAAATTTGTAACGGTAATTTAATCCATTTGGCAAAGAAGCATCCTTGGCAAGAAAAGACTTTGTTGAGTTTAAAACCTTTTAATGCTTGTGTTACTCGAGCGCCCCTTTCAATCAAACTTTCTGTATTTAAGAAAATCTTATTTTATGCCATTGCACCCACAACGTGACCTTTGATACAATGAGACATATATTTTCATATAATAGAGCAGTAGCAAAGAGAGACACTGTACATTAAAGAATTTGTTACTCTTTATTTAGCTCCATCCCCCCTTTTTTTTAATGTTTGACAGGAATTAATTTATTAAGAGAATAGAGTTATTAAACGACATTATCGACACCAGTACCACCCAAAATTTTTGTACTGGCATGAGGTTGATTCTTGAGCCCAGCAATGACTACAATAAAAAAATTAGATACATATAAGCATCAGAAATAAAAAATGCGTTTACCATAAGAAAGAAAGGTCAGTAATAATGTGACGGCAGGAACAACCAGTGTTGTTGTTTTGACAACGGTTGATATAAACATGATGACGGAGAAACTGTAGGACAAGAGGAGATTTTTAGAAATGGGAATGTCAGACTTTTTCTGCTAAACTTACAGCAAATACATGGCACCGCGAAAGTACGAGTTTTCAAATCGAGCTACGAATCCATCACTTTGTATAAGAAAAAAAAAAGTGTTATTGAGTATACATTACTAACAATATGCGTTACTTACAATCGTGGACTTGTAGGGCAGAATTTGGTACATAATGGTACCTCAACAAAAAATAAGATGAATGCTATCACCCTTTACAGAAAAAATATAAGTACATTTTATATAGCACAAGGGGTGAGGGTGTATCTTATCTTACCATCCTAAAATAGCAAAAATAGGATTGCCAAGCACGTTGATAACGCCAAGAGCAATCAAGACTATTGATAAAATGAGTGTTTGCGCTTTTATTTTATTTTATTTGGAGAGGGTACTTACGAGCTATGGAAGCCACGCCTAACCTGAGAAAAGAAGGGGAGGGTGTTAAGGAACCATGTATAGAATTTCTTTCTGATGCTTACCATTGAGCATAGAGAGAGAAATTACGTGACTTAAATTCTTCGAGCACACCCATTAGAGAAATACGAGAGATGAATAAGAGATAAAAGAAGAAAAAAAAGGAAAGGGAGCCAATCAAGGCGAATAAGTAATTCTCACTTTAATTGACGTCAGCTTTTTTTTTTTTTTGGGATATTTTTTTTTTTATTTTTATTTCTTTTTTCTTTTTGAATATTTCCAACAAAATGTCTTTTCTTTCAAATTACTTTTCTAAAAAAAAAAAATTCAAAAATTGGACTCAATGAGCGTTGCAGGCTCCACATCTTCTCAAGGAACGCATTCTCGCTCACCTTCACGATCCCGTTCCCCACCTTACAGCGATGGAAGATATCCGCCTTCTTCTAGATATGCCTCTCGTTACGATTCATATAATTATAGACCTAATCGCAATGGTATGTCGGCAGCCTTGGACGATTACAGAGACTTACGAGATAGAGAACGTGATCGCGACAGAGACAGATCCATGGGGTTAATGAGAGACGATAGATACTTATCTCGTGGAAGAGACAGGTATGTTGTATTTATTTATTTATTTTAAACAGCATGGGAATATTTAATTTTTTTTTTTTTTTTTTTTTTTTTTTTTTCATATACAACAGCCATGACCGATACACACCTTCCTATTATCGTGACGACATACCTCCCTCTCACCATTACTCTTCTTCATCTTCCAACATTGCTCGAGATTACCCAAAAACTAATCCCTTACGTCGTGATGGTAATTTTTTTTTTTTCTTTCTTGTAAATCTAAATGTGGGGGGAATACCAACCTTAAATTTATAGTGAGTTCTGACCAAGCAAAAGACAGCAACAATAATAAAATCACCAGTTCTTCCAGTAGTTCCAGTGTCAAGGATTTAAAAGAAGATAATAAACCCAACACACCTACCTCAGAATACACACCTTCCAACCGCTATATGGACTGGCGTGACAGAGACCGCGACAGAGACCGTGATCGTAGATACCGAGAAGAAGATCGCCGTCGAGACTATGATAGACGAGGGTAATTTTTTTTTTGTTCTTTTTCGCATATTTGAAGTTTACTCACACGCATGAACGCTGTTAGCTATATGCGTGATTTGCGCTATGATTCACCTTCTTACGGTGCGCCACCACCTCCGCCACCCATGAACTACCAAATTCCTCCATTCAATGGCGATTCGTACCGTCCAGACCGTGATCGAGACCGTGATATGCCTCCTTCGCCCAACATACCCTACTATGAACGAGACCGTCTGGATGATCGTGATTTTTACAGACCGGGTCGTAACAACACTGCACCAAACAACAATAACAATAATACGAGTAGCAACAACAACATTAATAATAGTAATAATAGTAGTAGTTCTATTCCTGATTATGATCGTTATCGTGCTAGACCTGTTCGACCCAATTGGACCTCTCCTGCCGCTACCACCACCAAACGAGATGACTCGCCCCCTTCTTCTCGACGTCTGGATAGGGACCGTCCCGAACGCATCATCACAGACACAACAACTTCCAGTGAACGTACATCTCCTGTAAAAGAACAGGAGAAAGCCCTAGAGAAAAAGGAAGATCAAGCATCTGCAGAAGAATTAAGTATGCTGGATTTCTTACCACATAGAAAACTCCCCCTTTGTTATTCTAACCTGTTCTTTATTTCATCACAGATTCACCAATGACAGAAGACACACACATGGCCGATCCTTCATCTGAAGGTTTGGAGACGGGTGAACTTCCGATTGAAGAGAAAATCATTGAGCCTGTGGTCGCTTCTACACCTGCATCTGCATCTGCGCCTGCTGCTGTTGTCACTTCAACTGCAACCACAAACGCCACTCCCACGACACCTCCCATGGTCACATCTCCCGCAACCACATCACCCACGACTACATCTCCTATTGCCCCAGCAGCAACAGCAGCTACGACATCTACAACAATTACGACAGCTACAACGTCTACAACAGCTACAACGTCTACAACAGCTACAACGTCTACAACAGCTACAACGTCTACAACAGCTGCAATAGCCACAACAGCTACAACAGCTATAACGGCTTCAGCAGCACCAGCAGCTTCAGTAGCCGCAACTCCTGCTACCAGCGTTGAGAAGGAAGCCACACCCACCTCTCCGCAAATCGAGCAAGGCGAAGTGATTGAGATGGAACTCCCGGTGATGACACAAGAGCAAATCGTGAACCGTATTGACGACATTGAAAACGAGTTATCGATGGAAGAAGAATTATTAGCACTTGCGGAGAAACGGGAGCGCGAAGCTATTGAGCAAGAGAATGCGAATGCGGATGACGAAGATGAGACGGCGGAAGAGGAAGCGGCCGAGAATAAAGAAGAGGCGAAAAAGCAAGCGTTGCAGGCCATGGAAAACGATCCTTGTGTGAATAACATGATGGATTTCTCCGACGAACTGGCGTCGCCCATGATGATGCGTAAACGACCTCAGCTGCTGATCAATCAACTTCGGGCTAAAAATGACGAGGAGGAGGATCGTTTGTATGAGAAGATCTTGGAAGAGAATCGACAGGTGGCCAAGAAGAATGCGGGCGGCGATGGTGAAGATTGGTCGGATGAAGAGAGTTGGAAAAAGCCCTTGTATCCCTCGTTGGCTGACTATCCTTGTTATAAGGAAAATATAGCTAAATTCGATCAGTTGCGTATTCATATCTCACACTCTTTGGCCACTCAAAAGGTAGCGCTTGTGAAAAAGGAAAAGTTTCTCAAGAAGGAGTACAAGGCGTTATACGAACAATGGAAGGAAAAGAATTTGGCCCTCGATCGTATTCGAGATATCGAACGTAAAGGACCCGATAAATTTGGCGGACATCGTACATCCAGTCGTCGTATTCAAGAACAACAACCGGAGGAATATACCGACGGTGTCATCTTTACTGCCAATTCCGAAGATGCGCTTCGTTTCAGTAATGGCGGATCTTCTACGCCTTACAACAATAACGGTCTCTATACTTCTGATGCCGCACGTTCTGAAGCCGAATTACTCGAGATCATTCAATCCTTGGAATCCGCCGAGATGCGTAACCCTGAAAACCGAGCCAAAAAGACGACGGCCACGATCCCATCCATGATACTGGACGTACGTGAACGCATGCGTACCTATGACGATCGTAGTCGATTGGTCAAGGATCCGTTAACGTATTACCACACTGGACCGGATACGGGAGATGTTTGGAACCAACAAGAAGTCACAACCTTTATGGAGAGTTACATGATGTACCCCAAGCAATTCGAACGTATCTCCGTTGCCATTGGAACCAAAACAGCACCTCAATGTGTCTTATTTTATTACCGTAAAAAGAAGAAGATTGATTTCAAGGCCTTGATGAAGAAGGGACGGAGGGGTAAAGCCAACAAAAATAGAGATCGTATTGCAGCCGCTATCCGTATCGCTACCAATGATTCCTCGCCTACCGGAAGAAAGGCCAAGAGTAAAGGATCCGCTTTGATGACCGATATCGGCGAAGCTCAAAACTCGAGAAAGGCCAAAGAAAAAGATGCGGCTGAACGAAAAAGTAAAGAGTTACGGGATTTAGAGCAAGCCAATCAATATTGGGATAGTGTGGCCGAAAGAAAAAAGACAAAACGACCTACTGTACCTCCTATTTTCATGCCTAATATCCCTTCAGGTCCTCCCAGTAGTGCTTCGGATGATACTGATACCATGATGGTATCCACTCCTACAACCGCGACGACGACCACAGAAAAACGTAGAACAAACTCGGGCTCACAAGTGCCTCGTCGTAATAAAGGAAAATCGCCTCGTGATATTGAACCAGCCGTAACTGAACAGGTTCGCTCAACGGAAGAGACTACCACCACCACGATGGATAGTGCGGAAGATGAAGAGGATAAAACCGTACCGTATGCTGGGAACACGGCCTTGAACAGTGGCGTGGCCAAATGGTCCGACCGTGAAAAGGAAATGGCGGTGGAAGCATTTAAAGAACACCGTCGTGACTTTGTTCAAGTCTCTGCCCTTGTCAAATCCAAAACAGAGGAACAATGTCGTAACTTTTACCATAATTTCAAGCGTAAATTCGGTCCCAATGCCTTTGATGAAGAAGATGCGCGTCAACAGGAGATTGCACCCGATGTTCATTCTGAAGTCGCTCTGGCCGGAAGAACCGATTTGAAAGCAGAAGAAGAGGATGCTGCTGCTGCTTTAGTTGGTATGTTTCAAATGGGTGCGAACACAACTGTCAAGGACGAGTTATCTTCTCGATCAAGAACTCCCAGTAGTGACCTTGCACTTGTCTTACCCCCTTCTTCTGCATCATCCACTGTAACAGTACCATCTGCACCAGTAGCATCGCCTGCAGTACCTGTCGCACCGGTATTGCTACCTCCAGTAGTACCAGTAGCACCAGCAGCTGTAATAGCGCCACAACTACCAAAACAACAACAACAGCAACAACAGCAACAACAACAACAACAACAACAACAGCAACAGCAACAGCAACAGCAACAGCAACAGCAACAGCAACAGCAACAGCAACAGCAACAGCAACAGCAACAGCAACAGCAACAGCAACAGCAACAGCAACAGCAACAACAACAACAACAACAGCAACAACAACAACAACAACAACAACATCAACAACAGCAACAACAGCAACAACAGCAACAGCAACAGCAACATCAACAGCAACAACAACAACAACAGCAACAACAACAACAACAACAGCAGCAGCAACAAAAACAGCAGCAAAAACAGCAGCAACAACAACATCATCATCAACAACATCAACAACAACAACAAAGGGTGATAACGACTATGGCACCAGCAGTGACCACAATAGCGTTACCGCCTCAACAAGTGGTGTCACAGCCTCTGCCTGTTATGAATACCCCCATCAGTCCAGCGGTTGTATCCACACCACCTCTTGTGCTTCCATCTCCTTTGGCGGTGAACCCCAACCACCCATTGCAATCGCAACAGCAACAAAAGCGACGTAGGGTCCGATCCACGTCCAGCCGAGCCGAAAGTGTGAATGGGGATGAGACGCTTGCTTCGGAATGGGCGGATGCTGACTATGGTAGTAAGAACGGAGGGCGCAAATTAGGACGTACGACGTCACTGAGTGGGAGTAAACGTCCGGTGTATTCGTCGTATTGGTCTGTATCTGAGCGTAACGAATTCTTGAGGCTTCTGGGTGTGCATGGGCGTAACTGGGATCAAGTGGCAAACGAGATGAAGAGCAAGACGGTGATCCAAGTACGCAATTTCTATGTAAATAATGAAGAAAAGATGCAATTGAAGGATGTGGTGGATCGCTATCATTCGAATAAAAGTGAAAGTATGCCACCGATGGGTACATCATTTGATACGAGTGCAGCACATTTTCAAGCATTACAGAATTTTCCGTTTCCTTCACCGATTGTGGATCATCATGGGAATGGCGGAAGCTCGACACCGCCTCCATTATCACAGCCGGCAACAACAGCAGCATCGTCATCAGGAACTGTAGTAGCAGCAGCTGCAACGCCTAGTGCAACAGCAACATCTAGTGCGACATCAACGTCGTTGCATGGTTACCCAAGATCCGGTTACTTTTCTTCCACTCCACCACCAGCAGCAGCAGCAGCAGCAGCAGTGACAACGCCTAACAATAATTATCCGAGACCGAGTGCGGCACCGAGTGAAGCACCTTCTGCCGTGACCAAAGTGGCGGATCTCTTAAATAACGATGATCCTGCTGAACCTAGTCAGAGTAGTTGGGATTCTTGGTTTGGAACTTAGTCATTTACTCTCCTTCTCCCTCTTTTATGACCCCCAACCCCCTTCCTTTTTGTCCCAACCCCCCTTTTTTTTCTGCTTACTCTCTCTTTTTCTCTCAATTTTTTTTTCTTTTAACTGTATAATATAAATAATCTCACCACTTCAATAAGATTTTCTTTTCGTTTGATGACTATTGAAAAGAACGATGCAAAAACGCTATAGAGATTTTGATAAAATATGGGGAGAACCATGCTTAAACTTTTGCGGTTGAATATAAAAGAGGGGAAAAAAAAAGCTTTTTTTGTTGTTGTCATCGTTAATTTCTTATTATTTACTACTTACCCCCTTTGCGTACTATGGTAATGAAAAAAAAGGAGTTCTTATATAATCCTTTTACTACCCTTTTTTTTTTTTTTTCTTTTTCTTTTTCTCTTTTTCTCTAATTTCTCAACAAAAAACGATATGGATGACAGTATTCAATCTCCTTCTTCTTATGGCACACCCCATTTTTCACGCATCAAATCATTCTTCAACAGCTACAATCGTAAAGAAAGTTATTCGATTTCGAATTGTTCCACCGTCGTAGCCTTTGGACTACCCAATGATTTTGGAGAGATCCAAGCCGACACAAAGCACAGCAGTTGGTTCTCCAGTATGACCAAGACACCAGCCACAGCAGCAGCAGCAACAGCACCAGTAACAACAAAGGAAACCTACGGATCCAATCATCCTAAATCCATCCATCGTCGATCGTACGCCGCCAACAGTGTCAAAATTCGACAAGTGCAGGTGGGACCTGGCAGTTTTTCCAAGGTTCGAATGTTGGGCAAAGGTGATGTGGGTAAAGTCTACCTGGTCAAGCAAAAGGGCACAGATAAAACTATGGCGATGAAAGTGCTTTCGAAAAAAGAAATGCTGAGACGAAATAAGGTCAAGCGAGTGCTGGCAGAGCAAGAGATCCTGTCCAGTGCCAATCATCCATTCATTGTTTCCTTGTATCATTCGTTCCAGAGCAAGGATCATTTGTATTTTGTCATGGAGTATTGTCTAGGTGGCGAATTCTTTCGTGCTCTGCAATCAAGACCTGGCAAATGTCTGACAGAGGATGGCGCTAAATTCTATGCCGCAGAAGTCATTGCTGCGCTTGAATATCTTCATTTGCATGGATTCATCTATCGAGATTTAAAACCAGAAAGTAAAAACATTTTGGGGAGGTTAGATATATTAAAATTATGGGTCTAATACACACACTTTAGACATATTACTGCATCAAACAGGTCACCTCATGCTGACGGATTTCGATCTCTCGAAACAGTCTTTTCCACCTGGTCCACCGGCTATTGTCAAATCAAATTCGCCTCACATTGTAAACATCACATCTTCACTATTTAAAATTCCTCACTGATATCTTTATTCTTAGCCACCTTCAATTGATACCAGGACGTGTATCGCCCAATTAAGAACCAACAGCTTTGTTGGCACAGAAGGTATAGGAATTACACACTCTCTCTCTTTGTATTCATCAACTAACGAATAAAGTGATACAGAATACATCGCACCTGAAGTCATACGGGGATGGGGACACACCAGTGGAGTAGATTGGTGGACACTTGGAATTCTAATTTACGAAATGCTCGTAAGTGATTTGTTTAGCTTATCCCTCCTTTTTTTTTTATTGTTTTAATGTATGTCATATATAGTATGGCACTACACCTTTCAAGGGGCAGAACCGAAACGAGACGTTTTCCAACATTATCAAGTATGATATTCCGTTTCCACCCGTAGCAGAGACGAAACCGACAGTGGCACCGCAGGCGGTATCCAACGCATGTAAATCTTTAATACGACGCTTGTTAGAGAAACAAGAGAATAAGCGTTTGGGCTCAAAAGCAGGAGCTTCGGAAGTGAAGGCACATCCCTTCTTCAAGTCACTTAAATTTGCTTTATTACGACATATGACCCCGCCCATTGTACCCCGTTTGGCCGACCAGAGTCAGCAGCACTATCGTGGCAAGGACAGCATGAGTCTGGATCTTGACCGCGATGAATCCATTCTGATCTCAAAGCATCAGCAAGACCCTTTCTACAGGTTTAACTCAGGTATATATATATATATATGTTATGTCGCATTTCAATTTATACACTCAAAACTAACTCCCTATGGGGGCTACTCCCTAAAAAATCATACATAGTGACACTGTACCACGAAGGAGACTCTGATTCTGAAACAATCGCACTCAGTGATAGCGAGGAAGATGAGAAAAATTTCTCTTAATAAAAAAAAAACCTTAATTTTTATTTGACATAAAATCCTTGACTTTCTTGTATGGCCGTGTACAGCATTTTCTTCAGTTTTTCTTTGGTATGATACTTGTACAGGATCAATTGATTGAAACAAGTATGCGCCGACGGTAATCGATCGCTGTCTCCATTGTTACCACACGTGATCTTGAGGCTCATTTGAGTAGCACCTGTGGCGGGTATACGGTCACTCCCTGTGACAAACATGAGTAATTTACGCTGCATCTCCGGCTCCATAGCTTTCATGATGCTCCAAAAGTTTCTAATTTTAAGCATATAAGTCATCTGAGTCTATATCTATATACATACAAAAAGGCTTACACAATGGTTTCCTCGTTCTCGTCAAAACCAATGTACTCGGTCTGTCCCTTTAAATCATCAATTTCCAAGGGTTCATCACTTCCTCGCACCAGCAACTCAATTTCTTCGGGACGAAATAAGGACAGGGCGTTACCACCGCAGACATGATAGAAACCACGTTGAAACGCTCCAAATTGACGCTCGACACTTTGGTTGAGAATAAAGTCAACGTACAGCGCCACAAATTCGTGGCGATTGTCTTGTGTGACCATCTTCTTCTCTCCGCCCGGCACCAAGGGAACGCATTGACGCTGTCCAAACACTTCAATCTCGGCCACAAACGATCGGCAAAAGACGTTTTCGACATCACCCTCAAATGCGAGGAGTTGCGCAAATCCTTTGGCAAGTGCGGGACGAAACGAACGCATATCGTCCAGACCGATGGGTAAATGCAAGAGCTTTTTATAACAAGCGGTGGGTAAATGAACGTCCAGGATGGTTGAATTATAAATGGCCAAACCCAAGACCACGCCCACCAGAAAGAACTGATCCTCGTTTTCGAAACTGGCCGGGTTGAACCAACAGAGATTGGAATCCTCATCAAAGGTAAACATACCATATTGAGCGTCAAACAGTGAACGCACCAGCAGTAAAAACCATTCTTTGCGAAGTCCACCGGCATCCACGCCATCTTCACCCACGAATTCTATCCGCAGCGATTTCTTGAGGTCGGATTCGTTTTGCGCCAGCTGCCGTAAAGAATCTTCAATCAGGTTTTCGCGCGAGACACGTAATACGAGGTACGGGTTGGAGGCCTTTTGATGAAATAGCATGTTGAAGAAGGCTTCGCGCCATTTCGTCTCCATTTGTTGTTTGGCATCCGACTCCACAATCTTCATTTTGGAACCCATGCTAATCAGAAACGGGTATTGGCAAAAAGCAAATTTTCCTGACTGCGATTGCCATGATTCAAAGTCGCCCATGAGGTTAATGTAGTCGGCCATGGTATTATAGAATTCGGACAAATGCACCTTATTGGCCTGATTATTCGCTGCGACTAACACACACATACACACACACACACACATCAATTTTCAATCAATTTTTTTTTCTTTTTATTGGCATAAAAAACAACAACTTACATAGTAGGGCCATGACTCGTGCGGCACTGGCGATTTTCCAATCGGATTCATAGGCTGTGGGTAATGCTGATTGACTTCTTCTTGCTCTGGATATGCGATGACTGAGAAATGCATGAATCAAGTCAATTTTGGATTTGAATCCCTTGATCGGATAACTAAAAATAGGCTTGAGCCCAATGGTGTGAGTTGCAGGGATTTTTTTTAAAAAAAAAAAAAAATTTCTCTCTTTTTTTTGTACCTCGAAAACCATTGTACCAGCCCGTGATGACATTCGTTATTCAAGCAGCTGAGAATACCGAAAACGCGTTTCAGTAGATTGTGATGGTATTTTGTTTCGGCTGGAAAATTGTGTTGTGCCAGCAAAGGGTTCTCCAAAATGATCAGCAGGAACCTTATATCACTCATGCGTTTCAAAGGTACCGCAGGACGTTTTAGTAATCGATCGATGGCAGACATCATGACTCGAATCACATTGACTGGCTACACATTTCATTTGTTAGCGTCTTTTTTCGCATTCAACGAAGTATATCTTATTACCAGGTTCAATAGAATACGATAAGCATCCTTCACATCGGCCATATTCAACCCAATCTTTTCTTCCTCTTCCTCTTTTTCCTCTTCCCCCTCCTCCTCCTAGAGAAAAAAAAACAGATGATGTAAATAATGAAGTTGCTATAGAACCAAATCCAGCCTTCCTAATACTACGTTACATTGCAAAAGCTATGATTTAAGCAAACCCAACTACTAAAGATGGTTTCAATCAACTTTTCAACAGGTTCATAAATCTTTTCTCGTTCCTTTTCATCTACTTCTCTTTTCGTACGTTTGGCTCGTTCTTTTAATTTGCATTCATGCACACTCTTCTTCAACAGGCGCAAAGTCAATGGCTGGTTCGACAGTTGCTGTCGGATATGCGGTTTCAAATCATTGACTGTATCACATACGGGGCATCGAAATCGTGATACGGTATGTGGGTATTTTAATTCGCTAATTTTCTTGTTAGTAAAGATAAGTGTTGCTACCTTTCTTTTTCTTTTTTTTTTTTTACCTGTTGCAACACATGCATTTACCAGTGATGCTCTACATGTTTTAAAAAGAAAGGGTTGGTCTTAGTTGGAAAAGGGGGAGGGAATATGGCATGTCAATTGAGTTACCATGGCATCGGCTTGCGTGTCTCGAGAATCAATGATCGATGCAGGTTCGACAGATGATGAGGAATAAGGAGTAGGTAACGGTGAAGACCGATAAGAAGCTAATGTCTTTTCTGATTCAAAAGCAAGTGTTCCTTCAGAATCTGCCATTTATTTATACATGAAGAAAGAAAAATAAAAATAAAAAAGAACAAAAATAAAAATAAAAATGTTGATCCGGAAACTCTATTTGCCGCCCTTTTTTTTTTTTTTTTTTTTTTTATTAATTACGAGGAGCCCAAATAACGAGTTAAAAGTTCCTACAAAAGAGAGAGTGAGCAAGAGAAAGAAAAAGGGTAGAAAAGTGCAGTTGGATATTTACATAGGTCATAAAGATGATTGCATTTGCAGGTGCACTTTTGGCTGCCGTCATACCGCATCCGCGATAAAACCCTCCCATCCTAGCACCTCGATAAATCTCCTTGGCAACCTCTCTAAACGAGGAGGGTCCGGTGGAGATTTGCATGCGGGATTTAATCACGTCCACTGGAAAAAAAGACACGTTATAGGCAATGCCGCCGCATGCACCTGCCAGCATCAGCTCGGCCGCACTCAAATCTTTTTTTGTACGTATCCCATCACCACTGTTATGAAGCAGTATCCACCGACAGCTGTATTCATAGGCTCCAAACCAAAATGCACTACCACCTGTTTCTCGTACACATGTAGGCATAAATCCCTTGAAAAATCCACGCATCCCCTGCTGCTTGTAGATCTGCTTTATCAACTGACGTGGCCCTGTCGCACTCCTTTGTACCTGTAACCGACACTTGATCAATTCCACCGGTGTCAATACAAATGACACAATCGTACCTGCCATGGCACCTGCCAACACAAGTTGATTTAAGCTTAAAGGTTCTTCCGGAGGCGTCTGTGAATACGATCGAATGGCGCGTTGAATCTGTCGATAGCCTACAAATAAGATGGCGTTTTCCAGCATGGCTCCGATGATGGGCGAAGACATACCCTACTACAGAGGAAGAATATGTTTATATTTTAACCGAAGCAATCGTACATGATCATGTTCATACAAACCTTGAAGAGTCCAGGAAGACCGTCTTGACGTACAGTGGCTTTTAAACAAGCCATCGGTCCTGCATACAGAGGATGAAGCACAGACTGTGTTTGAAGCTTTACTTTGACCGTATCAAACGGATATTCAATCACTTTTCCAACCATGCCTGCGACCTAAGTCGTGTTTTTTTTTAAAGAAAAAGTTAGCCCTGTGGGAAGGGGGGGGGAGTGAATATCATTTTCTTGATTTGTTACCGAACCAAATGCTAAATCTTCCAACTGAAGTCGTACATTGGAGGGTTTGACACTTGATGGAGCAGTGGATTCCATAGCTAAAAGAGAGAGATAAGAAGAAGAAACATATAAAAAAAAAAGGCCGACGGAGGGTTTTTAAACATGTGTCAAATTAGAGTTTCAAATACACATTGTTTATCAAATACGTCCTTATTCGGGACTAATCCGCCGAAGCTGTCATTTATCTAGGTGGGCAATAAATAAGTATAGCGAGAGGCTTTTTATAACGGCAATCTGTGAAAAAATGACCATGATTTACAAGTCATTCAATGCATGAGCATATCAAAGAAAGCTCGATGGATGATTGATCAATGTTGAGAGAGAGCAAGGCCTTTTTTTTTTTATTTTCTGTTTTTCAACCTTTGTGTCGAGTTGAAATTACGCTGATGACGAACGTTAGTGTCAACTTTGTATAAACACAGCAAGGCTATTTGACTTGTCATATAACCTTCTTTTAAAAAAAGAAGGTAAATGAGTTCAATTCAATTACACGTTTTTAGCGTCTCCGTTACCGATTGCACCTTCAGTATCACCTAAGAACTGGTGGTATCCTAATAACAGTGCTTATTTGTGGTTTATAATAGCCTTCAAGAGGCAAAGGGCACACCGTCAAGGAAAAATAGAAAATTACAATAAGGCACCTTTTGTTTCTATAGTCTTTTTGACTTCTTTATTGAAAGCAGTTTTAAAATATCATTTGGCAAAGTCTTTGCCCGTCGGAGCAATGGTCTTAGCAAACGACCCGCTCTGGGCTACTTTTTTTGAACTTCATGTTGTTGTCAGAACGAAAAATAGTAGTATTCGGGCAAAAGGCATTGTCACACACCCATGTTGTAACAATCGGTAACGAGCCGTTTGTGAATTTTGGCTATAATGGCTGGCCGGGTCAGACTAATTTTTTTGATTGCGATAAAACAAGTTGTGACAACTTTTTTTTTTTTTTTTAGACGCACACAAAAATAGTCTAACGCTCACTAAAAAAATAAAAAGCGAGCAATAACAAATAGTGTATTCTCCCTTCTATTTTTTTTTTTTTTTTTTGTAACCCCTTTTTATTATTATTTAATTTTTATTTTTTTTATATAAACTAAAAGGATACAATTACATTAAACATGTCAAGTGCAGTGAACGAATCCATGGAAGAAGGAGGCAATCCTGCAAACACCATTTATGTGGGCAACCTCGATCAAAGGTGATTTTGTTGTTGTTGTTGTTGTTGTAATGGTATACACAAGGGTGCTAAACACTTTTACCCTATTATTCTGTAGAGTAACTGATACCATGTTACACGAGATTTTTGAAACGGTTGGTGCTGTTGTTAGTGTAAAGATTGTGTCTGTAAGTAAATTCTCTTTTTGTGTTGTCATTAAACAGTGGGCTAACTCCTTTCCCCCCCCCCCAATAACTAGGTCAGAAGACATACCTCTTATGTAGGTTTTATGTATAGACGCAAATACAAGATTAGCACTAAACTCTAAAAAAAAAAATTAGGCTGGTGTCAACTATGCTTTTGTTGAATTTGCTGATCAACGAGTAGCTGAACAAGCTATTCAAGACATGAATGGTAGAAAGATTTTCAACTATGTAAGATGAAAAAAAAAAGTTTTTTTTTTTTCTTTTTATTTTTCTTACACATCAATGTAGGAAATCAGAGCTAATTGGGCTCAACAAGCAAACAACAACCAAGTGCAAAAGGAAGATACAGCATCTCATTTCCACGTATTTGTTGGTGATATTGCACCAGAGATTACGGATGATGCTCTTGTTCAAGCCTTTTCTGTCTTTGGCACCATGTCGTAAGTTTTTTTTTTAATTTTTTTTTTTTTTTTAGTACAATGGTACTTTTGCTAATCTTGAACACAAAAAAGTGAGGCTCATGTCATGTGGGATCCAGTTTCAGGAAAATCCAGAGGTTTTGGTTTTGTTGCATTCCGAGACAAGACCGATGCTGAACAAGCTATTGCCACCATGAATGGTGAGTGGTTAGGATCCAGAGCTATTCGTTGTAACTGGGCCACACAAAAAGGTAATAAGACTGACTAGCATAATAGATATACGAAGGTAAGACTAAAAGAACTCTTGTAGGCCAAACTGCAACTCCTGCTCCTCAACCAGGTCAACAATTACCTTACGAAGTGGTCATTCATCAAACTCCTGCTTATGTGACCAGTATCTATATTGGTAATTTGCCTCCTAACGTTTCTCGTAAGTTCTCAACGCGCGTTTGTATGTACGCCCCTTAAATATTAACAAATGAAATGATGTAGAAACTGAATTGGTTCAACCCTTCCAAAGATTTGGTTATGTTCAAGAAGTCAAGCTTCAAGCAGATCGTGGATTTGCTTTTGTAAAGTAAGTTATCAAGGGGTGAGGGGGCAGAATAAATTAGGGGCAGAGAAAGATTAAATGCTTTGTATATAGGATGGATACGCATGAAAACGCAGCCAATGCCATTGTTCATTTGCAAAACATCAATTTGAACGGCAGTATTGCAAAGGTAAGATTTAAGAACTGAAATAAAGGGAGTAGAAATACTTACGGGAGCAAGTCTATTACTTAGCTTTCTTGGGGTAAAGATCGTCCCCCTCCCGGATGGCAAAACTATGGTGGTTACCATCAACAACCACAACAGAATTATGGAGCACCATCACCAATGGGATATGGAAATAATAATAATGGAGGCCGTAACGGACAAGGAGTAGGAGGAGGACCTGGCGGAAATAATAATGGAGGAAGAGGTGGTAATAATAACGTGTTTGGTGTCCCTGCACATTTAACAAATGGTTATGCTTTCCATAACGCCGGTAATATTCCCAGCCTGGACCCTCATGGTGGTTCAGCGGTTGCAGCTGCTCATGCTGCTCAATGGAATCAACAAGCCGCCGTGGCTCAACAACAAAAGTTATATGATCAATATAATAATGGTCCTTAATAACATATAAATATATTTCCACACACACAAACACACACCCACACACAGTTGAAAAAAAATAAAATAAACACTATGCTTTGCCGATTTACTTACATAAACAAACATAAAGTATTTTACTTATCTCTTTCAATTTATCACAGGCATTATAAAAAAAAGTGATCAATTGTAACTTGTGGTATTATCTCGAGCTCTATTTCATTTGATTTTGTACACAAAAGATCTATTCAAGTGTCAAAATGAGGCTAAATATTAGGGGGGTTCATTAACTATTTTCATTTTCTTACCCAAATCATCCAATCAAAGTTAATGACCCCCCAAGACCTAATTAATATAAGCATATTTATGTCCAATCAACTTTACATAATCCTCTTTAAAAAAAAAATACAAAAATCACAACCTCACTTATCAGCAACTGAAGCAGAAAAAAAAAAAACGTTGCGGGAAGCAGCATTCAAAGAGATGAAAATGAAATCATACACAATTATTTTGAACATACGGCTGTAAAATATTAGAAAGTTGTGGGTGCTCTAGGTATATAACTTTTATACGTCGATTGACGTGCCATATCGTCTAAACTTCATAGGATGATCGATTTTAGTTTTCAGTCATTCTGCAATTACTATTTTTTAACTGTAACTCTTTTTTTTTTTACAAGTGACCATGGACATTTCAAAATCCGACCAATATTTTCACAAAAAGTGTGTCCCAATTGACCTGTATCGCAGGATTTGGCTCTTTTTTTCTTAAAAAGCAATCTACATCAAAAAGAAGGAATGAATTCACTTTATCAAGTGGATGAGCTTGTCAAAGAGTACTTGCTGGTAAACCAAGATGTCACACACCATGGTTCTTTTTACACAAAGAAAGAGAAAGTGTGTTATTTAATATTTATAAAATAAACCCTTTACCTTTCATAGTTTCGAGGATTTACAGCAACATTTCGAGCATTGGAATCAGAAATCCGTTCTGACAAGGACAAGGGATTTCAAGTAAGTGTTCCTAATCTTACAAAAAAAAGAGGCATGCTTACATAAAAAAAAGGACCTTCTAAACAAAATTACACACTACACAGGTCGAGAAGATTATCGAGGAATTATTAGGTGCGATTGCCAATGGTGATATCCAAGCATTAATCGATTATTATCGCTATTTGGATGTTCGATTTTTTTCTCGGTTAGATAGTCGATTTCAACGTACCATCAAGAAATTTGAGCTGTGTTTGCTTCGACATTATCTGATCCATGGTAAAAAAAAAACTATATTTTGTTTGGTCCTACAATTTTCTGTATTGACCTCACATCAAAATAGCCATGCAACATAAAAAACGAGAAAAAGTCATTGAATTTTTCGATGTCTATGGACCTGAATTACACGGGAAACCAGAATGGTCACAGTGGTTTGGTAAAGTATGGGTATCTCAATCAAAAACACATGTTTGCTCAAAACCCTGCGCGGTCATCCGCTTATCTTATGTAGCACTCCCCTATATCAAGAATCCATCCAATGACTCCACTTTTGAAACATTCTTTTCGAAACAATGGGTGGATAATTATACCATATCTCTTCACAACTTTCTTGCCACCACCTTTCAAAATATGCGCAAGTTTTAGCCCCTTCTAAAAATTGTCCCCCTAAAGCCTTTTTTTTTTTTTTCTAATGCTGACCTTTTTCTTTCTTATTAAATAGCCTTACCAAGTCTACTCTCGTTCAATATCGACCGTATCCAACGCAAAACCCAACAAGGCGAAATTGAAACCCTCAAATCCACCGTGGAAAACCAAAAGGCCACGTTAGAATCTCGAGAGAATGATATTGCAAAGTTGAAACATCAAGTAGCAGAAACAAGGAAAGAAATGACGGATGGTATATCCATGATTCGTCGTCGTGCCGCCTCTTCTTCCACAGACCATCACTTATTAAAACCCACAACCTCTACTGCACTACCTAGAAAATCCAATTCAGAATCCACTCAACATTTGGCACCCATCGTTGTTCCCACCACCGTTTCCCCAACCAAGGAACATGAAGAACCCTTTCTTATTGTCAGTCAGGATGAATTTGCAGAACATGCGTCAGCTATCACGCATGCCAAATTCTCGAGTGAGGGAGAACTCATTGCCAGTTGTGATATGGATAACATTGTGCGGTAAGTGATCTATATATGTATTCAAAAAAAAAAAAAAAATAGGGGAGGGGTTTCTCATCATCGTATGAGAATTAGCATCTGGAGTTATAAAGGTCAATCCTTCAACCCACTCAAAATCAAAAATACCAGCTCCAATGTGCTATCTCTCGAATGGGATGCACGCTCGGATCGATTTGTAAGTCAAACTTTTTAAAAGGGTTTTTTGCGAAATGTTCAACTAAATCATCAAACTTTTTTTTTTTCAGCTTTACTTGGGGACAGATACCGGCTTAATTCGAGTGTACAATGTGGAATCCAAATCCATTGTACAAGAATTCATCATGGACGATCATTACCCTTGGGTCAACCAATTATCTTCCAGTCCCATTGAACCCATTTTTGTTTGTGCTGGATCGGGTAATAAAATTCATCCGGGAAGTAACACGTCGTCAAGCGCTTTGGTTGCCTGGAGCATGAAAACCATGTCAGCCTGTGTAATCTACATTTTTGAATTTTTTTTTTTTTTTTTTTTTTTTTTGCTTCTTCTTCTTCTAGACTGGGATCACTAATAGGATGCAAAATATAGGGTACGTTTCAAATGGATCATAGTGAGGCGAGTATAAACACCATCAAGTTGAACCATAACGGTCAAATGCTGGTAGCGGGTGATACGGATGGATTGATGCGCATTTTTGGTAAGTCTTGAATCGCCATGTTTTTATTTTTTAAAAAAAAAACGGCAGGTTATTTACCTGTTGGTTTAGACATTCGTAGTATGAAGTCCATTATCGAATGGAAAGCCTCACCTTCATGCACAGCGCAATTCAGTTTTGATGAAAACTCTATTTATTCCGCCGATAGCAACGGACAAGTGAGTTTATATATATATATTGAAAAAAAAAGAGAGAGAGAGAGAGAGAAAGACTGATGCTGTAGTTTGTTAAGCTGTCGCAATGGTCGATCCATAAACCCGGCACATGCCTATTCCAACGGTCACTGGAAGGTTTCCCACCTCCCGTGGTACCCAGGGAATCGATTTTATCCCATCATATACCAGCACAACAGCAAGACGACGGTGTTACACAATCGTTATTGTCAGTCTCACCTCGTTCTCAAATGGTGGCATTCAGCACTGATACAGACTACGTGTTATGTGCAGCGCAAGAAAAAAAAGACACAGAATGTGGGTCTATTTATCGTTTGACTGCCGAAAGTGGGGACCCCGTCTGTAAGTTTGGTCATCAACCTCGAGATCAGCATATTACGACAGTGGATTGGACCAATTCTTCCAATGCTTGTTTATTGGGTAGCGCAGATGGAAGTGTGAAAGTCACCAGCTTGATAAAAGTTTAAAAATTTCCCACACATTGGGCTTACATAAACAAAAAAAAATTCCCCGCTATTTGAGTGAAATGTGGGGGAGGGTAGGACAACCAAATAAAAAAAAGAAAATTATCGATTTTTTTATTAAGAGTGTATAGAAAATTAACTGGATTCTTTAAGAATTCTACGTCTTTCATAATTGTATTCATCTGTCTTTTGACCTAATCTGACTTGAACTTGAGTTTCACGTTCCAAAAGGACCAAAGCTTCATCCGCACACCAAGTGATTAATTCACCTAAACGCTTACGAACATCCCACAAATATTTCTGCATTGGAGAGTAATAGGCACCTGTATTATCTTGTTCCTTGACGTATTCTGTGGGTGATTTGAAACCCGGTAAATCTGGGTATAAACGACGAGCTTCTTGAAGACATTCAAAGGCGGTTTCAGGGAAATATACTTTACCAGCACCCATCGACTTTTCTTTGGCAGTGGATGCACGTAATTCCAAAATGGCCTCTAATAAAGCCATATCTGCTTCCTTGATCAATTCCTTGACCTTTTCAAGAATTTGGATCTTTTCGAAGAGATCAGTAGATTCGTCCTTGAGTTCTTGCAAGTCACTCTTCATGATGATTTGGCCAGCCAAAGCATCCATACCATTGAATAAATCATCCAGGTCCTCACGGTATTTTTGAAGGGTACGGTATTCAATTGCATATTTCTCGTTTTGGACCTCTACCTCATGGATCTTGTCCTTTTCGGATTGAACCTTTAAAGTAGATTCAGCAACTAGATCCGTTGCCTTCTTTAACCCACTAGCAGCATGATCCTTCTCTGCTTGTAAACCACACTATGCATATCTTCTTTAGTATTCCCATCTCTCTTTTTTTTTTCTTATACTACACTTACGGTCAACTTTAATAAAAGCCATTGAACAGACCAGCTCTCCAAATCCTTGATCGTTGTCTCCCACATGGTTCTAACGAAAAGAGATGAGTATTACTTTCTCTACTAATAGTAATAATAAAAACTTACACTTTCTTGACAGCATCCATGTATTCTTTATCAATAGGTTCCTTTGCGATCTCGAGCTTTTTGATCGTTAACAGGTTTTCGAGACAGGGTTGTTCGACATGAGCAATATTGGCAATGGCATGCACAAGTTCATCAATAGATTGTGTAGACATTTTTATAAAAAAAAAGTGTGTATTTATATAGAGAGAGAGTGGGAGAGAGAAAGAGAAGGTACAGGTAAGAAAAAGACTTTTTCTTTTATTCTTTTTTTTTTATTTGGTCTCCCCCGGGAAAAAGAATGTTTTCCATCCTTTTACCGCCTTTTGGAAATCATTTTTTTTTATGCCGCTAAAAACCCAGGAGGGGGGATGATATCAGTGTGTGTCACCCTTGGGAAGAGGTAAAATACCCGTAACTCGTGTCCAAATGAGAATCAATGGAAGCTAAAAATCTATCAAAACTTTAAAAAAATAAATGTTAAAAATTGATTTCTTCCCATATGGAGAATAAGTTTTTTTTTTTTTTTTTTTTTTTTTTACGTTTGTTCTGCCATTTCTTGTGCGAAAATCTGTTTATAAATATACTGTTTCTTAAACTGTGTAATGGCATCAGCGTACAGGCTAAAGTCAATACATGATCGGTTTGGAATGTCTTTGATACGCTCATTGTATAAACCAAATACAGGTCGATCTAATAAAAGACCCAACGCCGGTGCTTTAGGAATATTGATTTTAGTGGCATCAAAGGTCGTTTCCAAGAAAGAAAGTGGGGTGTTTGTACGTACAGAGTACATGGCCATGGCTAGTTTTTTGTGTGTGTTTAAATATCATTTTTAACAGAAAAAAAAAAGAAAAACTTACTAATCATTTTGCGGATTTGGTGTAGCATAAAGGATTGCCCATGAAGCTTGACACTGATCCATTCCATGCCTTCAATCATCATGGGCTCATCTACCTTTTTCATCGTAAGGCGGAAAAAGTGAATATAAAGAATGCGATAAAAAAAAGAACGTATATAAAAAAAAAGACTTACAGATATATCCATCATGAACCTTTTGCAAGAGGGATCTGCAAAGGGTTTGGCAATGGTATAATTATGAAAGTTATGAGTTCCTTGAAAAAGCTCCATAGCCTGTTTAAATTTGTCAAAGCTAGGCGTATCCACTCTGTACGCCTTGAGCACTTGAGGGTCTGTGGGTGCAATGTATTTGGTAACTGCACCATGCTCCGTCCTTGTCATATAATCCTTATCCGAGCTAGGCTCTAAAGTCCATTCTTTTCGTTCAAACGCATTCAAGGTATAGGAAGGTAGTAAATACTCATACACGCGAGAGTCACATTTTGTTTTCGCATGAAATGTACGTTGTGTCTCCACATAGCCTACATAGTTGTACATACACAATCAGCATTTAGACACACACACACACACACAAAAATGATCTAATTTTTTTTTTTTACCCCATATTCTGATATGATTAGGTAATACACGGTTTAGATTTTCAACAAGGTGCTCGTCTTGACAGATCATTTTAAGTGAAACTAAATTACAAGCAGCGTGCACACCTTTATCCGTACGTGCTGCTCTCATGAGTTGCACCTTTTTCGGATCGCTAGCGTTGGAAGGGGAAATAGCGTCAGTTTTAACAAGTGCGTTAAATACTTCTTCCTCGATCGATCGAATGCCTGGATTACTATTATTCTCATGAATGATCTAATACGTATGACATGAAACAAATCTTACGCTTGCATGCCTTGATAGCCTGAGCCATTGTAGCCTAACATGAGAGCGACTTTTTTCTTGGGTAAGCGTTTCTCTGTGGATACAACGTGGTCTGGGTCATGGTGCCAGGCATTGACTTTTAAATAGTGTTCCTTGTTGGTCCATGCACGACTTGTAGTGAATAAGCGACGCAACATTTTTTTTTTTTGGTCTAATTTGATGCGAGATGACGCAAAGTCAGGTTTAGCCAGTCAAACAGAGCAAAGATGATCTTTTTTTTTTGTGACCGCAACTGATCAGAGAGAGAGAAACTGACGTTTTTAATCTCCACACCTTTGCTCACATCCTTCTTTTTTCTTAATTATTTTCTTCTTTTGGATTACATAAAAAAAAATGGCATTGAGACAAAATATTGAACATTTACCTTGGATAGTTCAAAAATACGGTGGAACAAGTGTCGGCAAGTTTTTAAATGAAATTGCTAATACCATTATTCCGTAAGATACCACTTGTAAAAAAAAAAAGGGTTGTTCTTTGATATATATATATTTTAACATTTTATATATTTTTTTTTAAAAAAAAAAGCACGTATCTGAAAACCAACCGAGTGGTCATTGTATGTTCTGCACGAAGTGGCAATACAAAGGAAGAAGGCACAACGAATCGGTAAGTCCATCAATACTTGTTCTCGCCAAAATTGGCGATTCATAATTCATCTTCTACTTATACACACAAAAAAAAAGACTATTAAGAGCTGCGGAAGAGGCATTAAAAGATGGATCTAATAAACATCTGGAGATTGTCCAAGAAATTCGAAAAGATCATCTTAATGCAGCAAGAGCGGTCATTCAAAATAAGGAAATATTAATTCATCTCGAATCTCAGTTGGAAAATGAGTGCCTGAAATTGCAATCCTTTCTGGAAGCCGCCGAGGTAAAAAAAAAAAAAAAAGACCCAATATGATAATCACAAGATTTTTTTTTTTTTTGTTTTTTAAAAACTGTAGTATTTTTATAATTTTAGATTATTGATGAAATTTCACCTCGTTCTAAAGACATCATTGTTGGCATGGGAGAGAAACTTTCATGTACCATCGTTACTGCCGTCTTGCGTGATCAAGTAAAGAGAAAGAGAGAAAAAAAAAGCATTTGATAGCATTTAAACCCTTGATCACACATGTATACTGAATACATCATTATTATTAGGGCATTGACAGTCAACTGGTAGTGCTAAACAACCTGATCCAAAAAGAATTCACAGTATTGGATGAAGAGTTTTACCAGTATATTGCCGAGCGTTTACAACAAGTGATTCTAGAATGCGGTCACCGTGTCCCTGTCCTTACCGGTTTCTTTGGTAACGTACCCGGCAGTTTACTCACGAGTATCGGACGAGGCTACACGGATCTCTGTGCTGCTTTAGCTTCGGTTGGTCTGAAATCACAAGAACTTCAAATCTGGAAAGAGGTCGATGGTATCTTCACAGCCGACCCACGCAAAGTCTCCACTGCACGTTTATTACCCATCATCACACCGGAGGAAGCAGCCGAGCTAACCTATTATGGATCCGAGGTCATCCATCCTTTCACGATGGAACAAGTCATCAAGGCAGAAATCCCTATTCGTATCAAGAATGTAGAGAATCCTACAGGTCAGGGTACCATTATTTTCCCCGATACCACCACCAGCAGCAGCAGCACAACATCTGCAAGGAATGGCTATGCCACACCTCCACCTACACCCGCTGTGTTAGCTCAGAATGGATATCACTCGGATTTAAGTAGGAAACATCCGACCGCCGTCACCGTCAAGGATAAAATTTGTGTGTTAAACGTACATTCCAATCGTAAAAACGTAAGTCATGGCTTTTTGGCAAAGATCTTTATGGCTTTGGATGATCATAATATTATTGTCGATTTGATCTCGACGTCTGAGGTGCATGTTTCTATGGCTCTGTCTTCAGATGTAGCACAAACACAGTGTTAAAAACGCAAATTCGTGATATAACCAATATGCCGGAATAGCATCGTTTTTGTTTAAAAAGAACAATACCGACAAGTTTATTTGACTCACCGTCCAAAGCCAATTATATCAGCTCCTGAAAAACAAATGGTGGGTTTATGTTGCTTGAGTACGTAATTAATGCAGCAATGTATGTCATGTGTTTCCCAAAAGATGCGACATTGTTGAATATTTATGAAATGTTCCAAAGATTTTTGATATCAGTTATCATTAAAGATAAAATCTGAACATTGCTCAATTCATCAGAGCTTGATATACTCACAGAACAATAAGTAGAACGTGCAATAATAAAAAAAAACCAAGATAAAGTTTCTCACAAAAAATACAAACAAAAAAACTTTGGTTGAATTATTTTATACCTGATGGATATTGTGTATTTTATAGAGCATACATTTACACTCCATTTTTTTATCTGTAAAAGTAGTTTTTATTGCTTCAAGATTAGCATTAAAGCATAAAAAGAATATGTTATATGTAATAGTATCCTATGATTATTTTTCAGGTTGCACAATAAAGCATATCTGCTTGAGCTAAATAAAATGTACAAATAATGCCTAATACGATTGGACATAGAAAGTAATTTTTAAAGCGAAAACGTCGTTATGATGCATCAAAAATGTCGTGTGACATTATTTCTTCTGTCGTTTCATCATACATGAAAAAAAAAGAGGTGCGATGGGAGTTGTGTACCACTCTCAGCCTTTCAAACAGTTGCATTGACAACTAATCCGACTTAGTGTGACCATGTGTCAGTAAATTTTCTATTGGTATATTGGGCACGTCTTTGTTGCCCTGTATATAAAGTAAAAAAACCGGGTACAAATTCCATCATCTATCATAATGTCTTCTACAAAAAAAAGGACCAAGATTTGCCATTGCAACAAGTGTGGCGGTTGCTCAGTTCCAATCAATACTGCTACACGACATGCCGAAAAAAAAATGTACGAGGAGTCATGCCAAAAGGCGGCAGCTTCCAAAAGAAGTTTGGATGAACTAGAAGAAAGTGTGTAACCCTCATCAGATATTTACCTACAACAAACTGTAATCTATACTAACAGAAATTTTAATAGATGACGCCGTAGTAGACACCAGCTTAGAATTTTCACGTTTGAACGTATCTGTTATTGAAGCAGAGTTTGCACATGTTAATATCAGTTCGACTCAAGTTGATAACCATTTTCAGGATGAATGCTCTTCAGGTATGCATACAAAAAAATGATTTATAACATGATGCTGAGTAATGTTTCAAGATGATGAGCGCGATTATGAAGAAGGCTTTATCTTTGATCAATCCTATAGCATTGATGCAAATGATGATAATGAAAATCAGGTTATTGTCGAAAGCAGCAGTGAGATATATTGGACCGATGAAGTTCTCAAAATGCTAGATGATTTGGATGATCAAGGTGAAAAATTTATCATAAAAAAAGGTAGGCTTGAATTTCGGAATAAATATTTGCAACTTTATTGAAACAATCGTAGTCCAACAAAATAATCATCCCAGAATACCACAAGATCCCACTTACTTGTTTATTTGTTGTTTTGTACTTATATTCCAAATGGACTTCTTGACTATCATCGCTACACACAAATTACTTGATCTGTTCCGTATGCTATTCAGCAATTTTGAGTTTCCAAAATCGTTACCCACGATCAAGCTTCAAACTGGATTTATCGATCTTACCAAAGATATGACTGTCTACGCAACTTGTCCTAAATGCTATTCAGTTTATCTTTATGCTACAAGCAACGGGTTAACACAGCCTGGGCCTCCACAAATATGTACATTTATCAATATCCTCAAAAAAGTACCTTGTCAAACCCCATTATTTCAAAACGGTTCCGATACTCCAATCAAAAAGTTTGTATACCATTGTCTTATAAGTTCGATCCAAAAGTTGTATCTGAGAGAAGGATTCGAGGAGAAGTGTGAAGAATGGCGTAGTTTTGAAGAGGCTGTAAACCCAACTGATATGATGTACCATTGCTCCCAGGGAAAAATGTGGAGAAGCATTCTTTCTCCCAGTGGCGACCCTTTTGTAAACAGCAGTAGATCTTTATGTTTGACATTGAATGCAGGTTAGAATACAAAAAAAAAAAAAAAAAAAAAAAAAAAAAAAAGGTAAAGACGAGATATACTTACAACCCAGTTAAACATAGATGGATTCCAACCATATGATACTACCTCCGCTTCTTGCGTCGCTTTTTATCTGCAAGTAAATAATTTACCAGTCGAGGAACGCATAAAGAAAGAAAACACGATACTGCTTGCATTAATCGAAGGACCGCATGAACCCAACACTTGTCAAACACAACGCCTATTATCCATTGTTACAAACCAACTTCGCTCCTTGTATTTTGGTGTTCAAATGTCTACATTCAACTCTGGAAAACATGGCCAAGATTACGGTGCTACTGTCAGAGCCTGTTTGTATCAAATCTTGTGCGATTTACCCATGCAACGAAAATTGAGCGGATTTACTGGATTTTCTTCTACGCGATCATGTTTCCGATGTGATAGATCGTTTAAAGTTTTTCCTGACACATCTAATTTGGATTATTCCGGCTTTGATGCTGTGCATTATCCTGCAAACGCCAATAAGAAGCTGAATGACATTCAATCCGACAAGTGGTTAAATAGCCATAATAACGCCGAAAGACATCGCCAAGACAGGGCCCACGGTATGAGATATAGCGTTTTAAGGAGTTTGAGGTACCTTGATCTTGTAAAAGCTACCACCCAGGATCATTTACATTGCATTTGGCTGGGTCTTGCAAAATCAATTATGTCAAAGTATGAAGAATTTGGATTTTTTAAACCACAACACTATCAGAGGTATTATAAATTTATGACACTATATATACGCAAATGTCATTACTAACCTTGTGTAAAAATGTTCCAGTATGGCCGCACTCGCTTCAAGTATCATCACGCCCAACGGTTGCAGCTCTATACATGCCAAAATAAAAGGAGGTTTTTCTTATATGAAGGGCATCGAATTCGAAATCTGGACCTTGCACTATTCCGAATATGTCTTAAAGTACATGATTGTTTCTGATAGATTAGTTGATGGATTTCATAAAAAGCATTATGCAAACTGGTTACAATTTGTGCAAGCTTGTAGAATTGTTGTACAACCCGCGATTACTACAGCCCAGGCATTCGAAGCACGAGAACTCTTCCGCTGTTTTTGCAAAGACTATGTGGTACTTTTCGGCCCTGAGGCAATCAAACCTAACTATCATTACGTCCTCCACCTGTCAGAAAATATTGAATACTATGGCAGTACATTCAACACTTCTTGTTTCTCTCTCGAAAGAATGAATGGTGTCCTAAAGCAGTCGACAGAGAATAGAAACCTTCGATCAATTCAAACTTCGTACATGACAAATTTTTGGAAAGCATTCATATCTCGTCTCTCATTAAACAATTAACAAGCACCAATATCATTTCTAAAGATCAAGCCCACATTCTCCACAACACCAGCGCTATCAACCAATCCTTATACACAAGCTCCAGTCCTCAAGATCGCATTAATTTTTACAAATTGTCTTCCTATGAATATACCAATTCGGGAGGTGTGGTGACCGGATCAGAAATGCTATACTCTCATCCGAATATTATCCCTACTAACTTTGATGAAATTAAATCCACTCCGCTCGATCCTTCACACCATATGCTTCTTATTGAATATTACACTCTATGCTACCCAAATCGTTCATTCACCAATCTCTTTCATTTAACCACGACAAATCTATGCAACAACCATGGTAATTCACTTTCCAATAACATTCCTTCAATTTATGTTGGTGCCGACGCCAGAATATCCAAACAATTTCAATCTGATATTATGTACAAAAGCCGTATGGCAAGATCGATGAAAGGTGCGTATATTCAAACATTCTTTAAAAACAATCATTCGTCGGAGTCCGTTGCCTGCTTTTACGGCGAGATACAATATTTCTTTCAACACGTCGTAAATGTTAACGGCAGTGTTACCCCCCACACATTCGCTTTCGTACGGTGGTTTATCCCCGTCAACCCTGGTAACAACATTTTAGAAAATGAAACTATGGAAATATGCAAAGGCTATGAAAATACAAATGTTCATTCGATTTTACCTGTACATAGAATACACAACGCAATCACGGTTGCATGTAGTTCTGACAATTCTAGTAATCCACGAATTCAAAACGGCTGCATTGTAATAATTCCTCAAGAAAAAAAAATATATGTTTAAGCTAATTCACCTATGCCCTTTTTTAATTTCAATAAACCACTATGAATATGTAAAAAATTGTTGTTGGAAAAGGGGGAGCAGATTAAAAAAGAAGAAAAAAATTGTTTATTTACAATTCAGGAACTCGGGCCCAGTCGGGTGCCTGATTTAGAAATTCGGGCTTGATCACCACATGCTTGAAACGTCCCGTATCCTTTGTCTCCTTTTCTTTTTGGGCGTTTTTTCTCAAAATGAGATCATACTCATCGAAATGTTGAAAGGCGCGACGAGCCTAAAGACGAATTGATTTAGTATGTATTCTATTAATAGGAATACACTCATATTGTATACCTCATTTGTGCGCCAATGGGGCACCATAACCCGCAAGCGTGAGTTTTTTTCGGTCATCCCTATTTCCGAATCCGTGCTTTCCTCGTCACTTTGGAGTTGCTCTATCAAGAGCTTCTCTATGTCATCACCATAAGCATCTCTCATTTTTTTGCCATACTCCTCGTTGACCATCACGTTTTTTCTGTGCTTGCATTTCTACAATTATATTAAATATTAACCTTGGAAACGCCTTGCATATTCGTAACTTACAGAAATTCTTCTTCCCTTTCTTGTACTTTTCTTATTTTTTAAAAGCTTTGCTGCGGGAGATTGCTTTTCGTTATCCTGCTTACGGCGAAAGACATTTCTGATCTTGTTTTGAAGATCGTTGTAGGTAATGGATTCCGTCCAGTTCTTTTTGGTTGACAATGTGATTTGAGCACCAACAAAATCGATAATATTTTTAGTTATACGGGTGTTCTCTACCGTCATAAATGCCTTAGATAGGTTCCACTCCAGATTACCAACCTTCTGGTTAGCAATGGACGTTTTAATCCAGGCCTATAATTACAAGGTAGATTAGATATATGAACGGTTCTCTATTCTTGGTGACATACCGACAAACTATTGTAAAGTGCACCCCCTATTTGGAAAGGAGGTACATTTCCATTAGTCAATGCGGGGGTAGCTGAAGAAACAGCAGCTTCACCGGAAAGAATAGACAATATTTTGTCAATTTTATCTTCCACCATGTCAAGTCGTGCCCTCAAAATTTCTCCGGTAACGATGGCTTCCTTGACCTCATTTTTTATACTGTTCAGATCATTTTTAATTCCTGTTATCTGAAAACATTTTACAAAGGCACCAACAGTTGCTGAATCATCTCTGCTGCTTAATTGCGACGTATTCATGGGAGCAATAGATACCATATCTTCTTGTTGAATATTGTCTGTCACCGACGAGACGGAGCTACTACGACTTCTAGTTGCTCTGTTAGGCAAAGAAGAATATCTTGAAGAGGGGTTGGTAGGTCTAGTCATATTTAGAATAAGTAATTTCTGGATGAAAAACGTGAAATAATCATATATACACAGATGAGCTCTCATTCAATATTATGTTTTTTTGTGATATTCCAATTGGGACCGAAACTGTGTATGACCTTTGGTACCTGACTAGTATAAATGGACTTTCAATTTTTAGGGTTTAACGTGATTTTTATTGACAAACATACTATCAAGTCTTTTAAGTATTATTCCACTCATGCATATTACGAAGCATCAGTTGCCTCCGGTGTAGAAGAAAATATAAAAGAAGGAAACAATTATTTCGGCTTTTTTAATATCTTTTCTTTCTTTTTGTTCAAACTTTCTAAAATGTAATGCTTTACTCCCATACTTGTCATGCCAAATTTTTTAACCATATATTGCTTTATTTTAGTTCTTTGAAATCCAAACATGCATATCTATTATAGGCTATCATTTGGACGTATTTCTTAGGTGCACTTTAAATGTTTTTTATATCAGCTTAACCACCTCTATTCCCGGACCATTAAGTCAGTTTAACAGTAGGTACACAAAAACAATATCTTATTAAGCATACCCGTATCTAATTTTTTTCAAAAGGTTATGCAAGCTGTAAAAATACAGGAACAACGCGACTGCTCTGCGTAATTAATTCTAATGCTTGGCCGTAGCGAATTGCGCTGGTTTACTCTACTGTGAGGTCTGATACGGGAAATACTTAGACAAAAAGATACATAGCGCTGTTTTTCTACTATTTCTATAATAAAATAAAATAAAATAGAATATACTTTCCTCATAATATTCCCTTATACATCGAATAATTTGCTATATGCAACGAGTAACGTTTATGAAACCTTACCCTTTTGTGTATGTGTGTATATGTGTGTATATGTGTGTGTATGTGTGTGTTTTTGTGTGTTTTTGTGCGAGTAGTGTAGGATCAACCCTGACAATTCCCGAAGCGTTAAATACAAATGTTTATAAAGACCTCAAAAGTAATAATAGATTAAGCTTTTAGTTTCAGATACATGAGATCATTCAGTAATTAAGTTATTTGTTTAGCCACGATTTGCATCGTTTGTTTATTTGATGAATTGCATAATGTACAAAGTTTGAAGTTCCACAAAAAAAAATAACAATTGTCATCGGAGAACGTGATGTTTGCATAACTTTAAATAGTTGCTTGCAGCTTACATCACAAAATGTGTTACTACAAGATTTAAAGTCAACCCATCCCCCCACTATATTCAAGTTAAGCAAATTCGATTGTCAATCTTTGCATGGTATTGTTCCACCCGACAGAAATCACTTTGTCGGATTAATGTCAATTGTTTGGTTGGTATTGACCCAACCGATACCAAAACTGAGACATAATTGACTGCACGAAATTAATCTTTTAACTATGTGAAAGTAGTCTGGATAATGCGTTAGTTGAACTTCGACAACTTGGCACTGTGAGTATATATATATTTGTTTTGATACTGTGTGCTCTAGATGCAATGACTCAATCCCCAAAAAAATTAATGCATAGGTTGACGTCAATCAAAATATGGCAATTATATCACTGGTGGGTAAACAAATGAAGAATCTGGTGGGTGTGGCCGGCAAGATGTTTACGAGTTTGGCAGAAGCTGGTATTAGCATTGAAATTATCTCTCAAGGTGCTTCTGAAATCAATATCTCTTGTGTGGTGGAAGAGAAATTTGCATTGAGCGCATTAAGAGCCATTCATGAACGTTTGTTGGATTTAGATCCCAGTGTTGAACTCTCTCAATTAGATATCAAATAAAGAAAGAAAGAAAAAAAGAACCAAAATCACATACTGCGTAAAAATCAGTTATAAAAAGATGGAAATATAGGGTGACAAAGCTTATGTGAAATTTAGATATGTTCTAGTTGCAAAAGAAACATGTGTGGCCACGAATATTCTATAACTAGTAAAAACGGGCTATTAAAGATAATAGCTCTTGATATATACCAATCATTGCATAACTAAAGAGTCAATATTTTATAAAAGACTTCTCTTTGTGTTTTGCAAACTGAAGAGGCATTTTTCTTTGGTTTCTCTAGTTCAAACAGTTCCTTTGGGAGGGAGAATATCAAATCGAGTTGAGCAATACGAGTTATTTTCATTAAGCTATTCATTTAGCTTGATGACACATTTAAACATGGTACTTTAGCACTCAGGGCCAAATTTCTTGCACCACAAAGAAAGTCAGATAAATTATTACTGTCGATTTGGAAAGTAACTACTGTGCACCGAATGTTTTCAGTGACCTTCCTTGATATTACGAAGAACCCGTGCCGACTAGATTTATGTGATGGATTTGTATCTCTACAACTTTCTTTGCGTTTCTCCAAGTAAGCCGCATCATTTATGATGCTTTTTTTGTGACAAGAAAAGCTCTTAGATTTTCATCAAACCCAGTGCCAAACTTTACAGCATTTTTGAAGAAGGTCTTGATGATACTCTTCTCCTATCTTTGCTGATCACGCAGATCCTTTCGTTAGTTACCTTCTTGAGCGTTTAACAACCAAAAGTTATTATCGGTTAGCTTTTTTACAACATTGATTACTTTCTACAGAAAAAAGTAAAAAAGAGATTAGTATGCAAGGGAAAAAGAAAGTGTCTTATTTATAGAATTGGGTTATGTCAGGATGATTTAATTGTTTATTTTAATCCTCCATCATGTTTGAGCCTTTACTTAGAATAGAAACAAATCTGCAAAATAGCAATTCTGAACTTGGTTATTGTCTATAAGTGGTTCAGTGGTGGCACGTGGCAATAGTAAAGCATATTTTCATAAAGTGTAGAATTAAAAAGTTAAAGAAAATATGTCGATATTACGACTGAGACAACTCATCTCTGCTGTGCGACTGAAGATCTCCCAAGTTGTAAGTCACATAATTGCTATTATATTAGAAATAGCAATGAACCATTCTATTTTGTAAACGCTAGTCATCTTTGGAGCACACGATGTCCTATTTTTTTTTTGATACATATAAAAGGGATTTGATACGAAATATGATTGGCTGGCAAAAAAACAAATGGAACGAGGTTTTTTTTTTTTTTTTTTGGACATAATTACCCATGAGTCTAGTCATATACATCAACGTCGGATCTAACACTGCCAACTTCATCGTTACTACACACATAAATGTGTATCTTTTTAAAGTGGGTGTATCAATCAGACCTTGCAAAAATAAATCCAGCATGTAGACTGATGATGCTTCCTTGCATGCCTAGGAACTGCTTCTTTTTTTTCTCTCTCAGGAAATAACATGTTTATTACCTGATTAAGAGTAAGTATGTAATTATACTGAATTTATTGTATATAATAAAAAAAGGAAGGGGGTAGGGTTTCTGTATTTAGGATCGTTCACCACGAAGACGACGAGCTAATTGAATATCTTTGGGTTGAATCGTAACTCGTTTAGCATGAATAGCAGCGAGGTTGGTATCTATTATAAATTTTTGGGATTTAGTATCACTACCAAATGATGAAAAAAAAAAAAAAATTAAAAGAGGGGTATGGTCATGTTACCTTCAAAGAGTGAAACAAGATAAGCCTCGGCAGCTTCTTGTAGAGCACCAATAGCAGAAGATTGGAATCGCAAGTCGGTCTTGAAATCTTGAGCAATTTCTCGTACAAGACGTTGGAAAGGAAGCTTACGAATCAAGAGCTCAGTGGATTTCTATATAAAAAAAAGAGAGAGATGTAAATAATAGACCAACTTTTTCATATACGAAAAGGAGTTTCTTTACTTGGTAACGACGAATTTCACGAAGAGCAACAGTACCAGGCTTATAACGATGAGGCTTCTTTACACCGCCTAAAAGTAAGTTTGTGAGCATAAATGTAAAGGATAACTTCTCTTATTCTGTTACCTGTGGTGGGTGCGGATTTTCTAGCAGCTTTAGTAGCGAGTTGTTTACGAGGTGCTTTACCACCGGTAGATTTACGAGCAGTTTGTTTAGTTCGAGCCATCTTTTTTAGAAGAAGAAAGAAAAAGGGAAACAATGAGGTGGGGAGGGGAGTTTTTTTTTTATGTATCCAAGTGACTGGTGTTACCCAAAAATTAAAAGGGAGAGAAATGCAACCAATGTTACTGGTCTAAATGACGAAAAAGGGGGGGAGAGGTGCGGTGCTTCATATCAGAAGGGCACCCAGCAACACAATTTTGGGTCTAGCATGAATTGGGAGGTTTATTTTATAAATAAATAAAAAAAAAAAAAGGCCCAGACCCCGTTTAAGCATTTCTTCTCTCCGCTTTTTTTTTTTTCTCTCTTTCTCTTTTAACAAAATGTATTTTAATATTCCAAAAAGCAATGAAAGAAAAAAAGGGTTAAAAAAAAAGGCTAGCAGTAGTAGCTTAGAGTCACTTACGACAGCAGTCATGGCAGAAGATCGCATCTCTGAAATCATTCACAACTTGGACGATCATTGGGGCTCACCACCCATATTAACTCCAGATACACTTGCTCATATACTTAATCATCAATGGATAAGCAACGTTCCCGTAGACGAACAAGAACTTGAAAACGTACAGTCATTTTAAAATACTTTTTTTTATTTTAATTTTTGCTTTTTTCCAGTAGTAAAACTTCTCTCTTTGTACTAATCGTTTTAGTGTAAAAGGTTATTTCTCACAACAACAACAAAACGAACATGAACAAAAGAGTGATATCAGATTTGATAAAAGAATTATACAAGTAAGTCTTTCTGTTGTATTTACATTCCCACCCTCCTCTCCTTCCTTTAACTTAGTTGGGGCATTTAGAACAATACAAGTCATCGATACCAAATCAGAATTCGAAGTGACAAAGGATCTAAAGGTAATGAAAATGATAAATTGCCACCCTCCACGTTTATATTAATTCCTCCTTATATGATTCCATCAATCAAAAAGAATGATCCTGTCCTACAAAATTTCATTTCTGCCAAAGAACAAGAAGAGCAGCCAGAAGATGTTCTGGAGCATCTCGTAGAGTTACTGAAATACCACAATACCACCACAACTTTGAATCACGGTGATCCATAGATTATAACTTAATAAACATCATTCTTTATAAGACGTAGATCCCTTTTCTTTTACCCTTGTGGGTTGCACGGGATGATTGACGGTATTGGTTACACCAATCTTTAAATTCCTCCATTACATCATTGAATTATCTTTTTTTTTTTTTTTTTCGTTCTGCATCCCGTTGTCATTGGGGTTGCATAATCAGTAATACAATGCATTCTTTAGAGCCGATCAAATACATGTATACATGTTTATAAATCATCTTTCCCTCCACTTAGTATAGAGCATGCTTCATAAGAGATATAGAGTAAAGGATCTTTTCTCTCGCTACGCACAAGAATGCGGTACAAGGACAGGGCAAGCAATGTGATCGGGAGCTACATAACATAGCGTCATTAATATCTTTTATTTAATGGCAATTGATTGGTTCCTACCACATAAAAAAGTTAAAAAAAACACGTAAAAAGTAACGTGACTGTCTGAAATACTTTCATTTTTATCTATTTTTTTTTTTTTTTTTTTTTTTTTTTTTTTTGGTGCAACTTTTGACACCTCTCTTAAAAAAAATAAAATGGGTTATGCAACACTTGACGCAGCACTTGCGTTTCCCAACAATGTTCCACCTACAAAAACTCACATTGCAATTACTGATTCCTTGAAATCGGACGGCAACTTTTTAATTCATCACTTTGTTGTGAATCACTTGAAAGCGAATAAACCCGTAGTCCTTGTTGGTCTTGCACAAATTTTCAACCATTACTTTTTAATCGGTCGCAAATTGGTGGGTTTGCCGAGAAACACACGCACAATGGAATTAAACTCACAATGTTTTTTTTTTTTCTGTGTAGGGTATCAATTTACAAACATATAAAACATCAGGAAAATTCGTGTTTGTGGATGGATTAACGCACTTGACGGATTACACGAACGAGACACCTTACCCACCCAGCAAAGCACCCACAGCACCTACAGATACATTGGATTATAAAAACAAGGGATCGGATGTATTGAAGTCGTTTTATTTGTTAATCAAGGGATATATGAAGCCTGACAGCTTGTTGATTTTGGACGATATCAGTGTGTTATTGTACAATGGATTCACGCTTGCACAAGTCACTGGGTTGATAGCCCGATTAAATATGCTGGAAGGTACTTTATTGACGGTGATGCATGCGGATGAAGAAGGTGCGGAGGATGAAGAACAGGATGGATTTATCAAGAATATTATCTATGGATCGAATATTGTACTTCAGGTGCAACCATTAAATAGTGGATTGGCAAGAGATGTCCATGGTCAAATTGATATCATTCATGGGTCGAAAGCCATGCATGTTATTACACCTCAGTCTATGCATTACAAAATTCTGGATAATAATGTTCATTTCTTTGCAAAAGGTGTATCACAAGTTTAAACTTAGCTCAATCATTAATTAAAAATCTATTTATAAAACAATTATAAAAATGTAACCCAGTAAAAAAGTTCTTAATCCACACACACACACACCCCTTTTTTTCTTTCTTTCTCTTCTTTTTCCCTCTCTTTTTTATAAATTTTCTTTTAATGTTACCATCAGGTCATTCACTTTTTGGTTCATTAACCTTAGCAACGTTACTCGTCGGTTCGGCATTGGCACTTGACCCATGTGCAAAAATTGCAGGCAACGCTACAGCTAGTTTCGGAGACGCCATGGCCTGTTTAGACTACTTTAAATACGACAAAGAAATTGCTCGACAAACTGTAGATACTGTCAGAAAAATCACAAACGAACTCTATGTTTTCAATGTAAATTTTGATTTTTTTATATTGTAAACAAACAAACCATTTACAAAAAAAAAACTATTTTAAATAGGAAGTCGCTGCTTTGCCACCCAAAGTAGAAGGCCTTTCACTGTCTGCAGTCAATATTACTTATGGTCTTGATCTAATCATTCAACAAGACTGGAAATCAGACCGAGAATTCCAAGAAGCTATTGCTTTATTACTTGATAAAGTCCAAGATGCTCATTTGGTAAAATTTTTATTGTGTAATTAGTATGCTGATTTTTTTAATAACTTTTTTTCTTTTCCAACCAAAAAAAGTCTTATTCGCCCTTTTGTTACCGACAATTTATTTTTTGGCAGCCCATCCAATTAAACTCACTGTTGAGAAACAAACGTCTAATTACCAACGTAGCCTATGTCAAAAATGATGTATGGCCCGAAGCCAAAGAAGAATGGGTTGGTTGTGAAGTGACCGAGATCGATGGTTCGGAAGCCATGGAAATGATTGTAAATTATGCCGTCAATAACAATGGTGAAAGTAAAGATGTCAATACCTGTTTCAACAATATCATGAACACAAAGAGTTATTTCCATGGCTGGGATGACGGTGCGGATGATTTAGGTTATCATCGTTTCTTACCAGCACAAGAATTTCACAATTATACCATGCGTTGTGCTAAAAAGGGCACTTTGCCCGTTCAAGAGGATTATGATGCTCCATTCACCGTACAAGTACCTTGGATTGCTCAAGTACCTCCCAATTTTAACACAGCCGATGATTATTGGTCGAATTTCTGTCAATCCGCTCATCGCAATGATATGTCCAAACGTAATATCCATTATGATCTCCATGAACTCAAAAATATCTATGAAGGTCAAGTCTTTGCTTTGGATTCAGAAGGAAGATCTGCTGCACAAAACGCTGTCGGCTCTAGTAAAGGTCCCTATATCGAATTTATTCATTTGGACTCCCCTAATGAAAAAGTCGCTGTCATCGATATCCAAAGTTTCTCTATTGCTTCCGAAGACCGTCAAACATTTGCAGATGAGTTCATTCAAGGTTTACAAGACTTTGAAGAGAAGGGAGTTGAAAAGATCATTCTTGATTTATCTTCCAATGGTGGCGGTGATGCCTGTGCTGGTGAATTTTTGATCAGTACCTTTTTTAATTCCACTCCCGATTACCCTTCCGACATCAAACACTCACCTTTCCTCGAACGTGTCGTCAAGACTGCTTATGAACAAGAACAAACCAAATGGTTTGATTACAGAGCTTCTGGATTTACTGGTAGTTCTTGGTTTACCGAGACCAAAGAATACGCACGTGGTCAAGAACCCGCTGTCAAGTTCTCTCAACCTGTCACCTTGAGTTGCGGTAGTTGGTCCGATACGATCTCTACCAAAAAGTATAAGAACACCAAATGGAAGTCCTCTGATATTTTGATTCTTTCGGATGGACGATGTGGATCCACCTGCGCTATTGTTGCTTCCCGCTTGCGTCTCTCACATCAAGTACCTGCCATGGGTTTAGGTGGTATCCGTGGTAACCGTATGCAATTTGCTTCTTTCCCTGGTGGTGAAAGTGATCGATTAAGTAGTTTCTTGATGGATCTCGAGATTTTGGGTTTAGCGAATGATCCCGATGCGCCTTCTCCTTTCCCCGAACGTGCTGATATGGGTTGGACTTTCAGAGAGGTGTATAAACCTACCGAAAAATTCAATGGTAGTGAAACCGATTTATTGGAATATAGTGCCATCAATGCCGATTGTAGAATGCATTTTGATGATAATAATGCTGATGATATCAAGAAACTTTGGGCCGATGTTGCTAAAGTCATCTTGGCTGGTCAATGTCCTCTAATTGAACAGTAAAAAAAAATGTTTTTTTTATAGTGTACTATTAGATTATTCCCCCCCCCCCACTTCACTTTCACCTTGAACACACACACACATGTATCATTTTGTTTTCTCAAGTAAAAAAATAAAATCACTTTCTATCAAATGTTATGGTAAGTTGCCTGTTAAAGAAGGTTGACTTTCTTTAATTAGTCTGTCCTACCCAAAACCAGATTTCTATTTAGTTAAATTGGTATTTTAACTTAATTATAGACTTCGGTACAAATTAGACGCGGGATGTATTCGTCAAGTGATTGTTAAGAACGCTTATTGTTTTTTCCCTCCAAGAATATCCAAAAGAAACAGAAGGGTTACATCATAATATAACTAGCCACAATCATTCAAGGTGCTTGTCACATCATAATTAGGTCACCCCCCCCATGTACGCATATTACCCACGATACATGTAAATATGATTTACGGTAGACTATGCCTTTCCTGCGTATCTCTCGTTTTTTTTTACTGATGATTGGAGAGCAATTTATGTCATACTCTGTGTATGTCCAAGTTATGTCATTTAGTTGTGCTTGGGAAATTCTTCAGTTCAAAATAGGATCGATATTCGCTGTAAAACGCAAAAAAATCATGTTACTGGATTTTTATTTTTTATTTTTTTAAAAAAAAAAAAATGTCTACGTCGTCTCAAGAAAACATGGATGAAAGCTGTTCCTAGTTAGTTCCATATGAAATAAACGTGTCCAGAAAAAAAAAGCAGAATAAATTCATATTTGACCTAAACTTTTTTACAGAAGAGACCATCGTTGAGAAAATCGCTACATATCTCAGAGAAAAAATTTCCACTTGTAACTCTAAACTCCTGGGTACTTTGATTTTTTTTGTAGACATGTGGATATGTATCTTGTTTTAAATTTTTGAAACTAAATGGTCAAAACGGAAATCGTAATATATTTAATCGGGATTCTTTAAATTTAGCATCAAACTACTTTTTTTTTGGTAGACTGTGGAATGATTAAAATTAATTGTATATTCCATTGCTTTTTAAGAAGTACGTCCTTTCTGTAACTGGCGTTTATGTTGGTAGAAAAATCATTGATACGATTGGGTTTTCAGAAAAAGATGAAAGGCGTGAGCCACCTTTTTGACAAGCAAAAAATTATATGGTTTTGTATACGTTTAAAAAAAAAACGAACGATACCTATTCACATGTACCACCCAATAACCGCTAAGTAATTTTCTACTCTTCAAAAAAAAAATCAGCTGCAGCCTTTTAAATAACCTATCGTCTACAACTCTTTGGGGGAAGCCAGTATAAGCTTCGGGCTAGCAGATCTAGCTACACGAGATCACTGAGTAAGTAGCCTGTTTACTTTATCAACCCAAGCTGAATGGCCAGCTATTTCAGGAACGTTCAAAATCAGTCACTTAAGTTCTAAAGGTTAGCTACAATTCCCGGCAAAGTCTACACATACGTCTAAAAAATATAAAAGTTTACGTCTGTTCACATGGCTTTTCTCAAATATTAGATAATGTACTTTTTGTACGTCTGTTTTTTATTTTTATACGTCTTCTTTTTTTTACGTGTCTATTCCTTTAACATGTCTATTTTTTTCGATCTGTAGTGCCTTTTATACATAATTTTTTATAGCAATGCCACGACAGCGACATCAAACTGAAACTCAAGCGAAAGTCATCCAACAAAAAAAGACATACAGCTGTGGATATGGGAATGCTTAGAATGCCAAGAATAAAAACCAATACGCTCTGTTATAAGTCCGAAATTGTTTATTTCATATTGCCGCTTCATGTAATCTTGTATTTCGCCACAAGCGCATTACACAATTTTAGTTAGTTTATTTGCTTCTCAAATCGAAATAATTCCATATTTTTAAAATAGTGCTTTGGACTATCTTGTAATTTATTTTAATTCTAGTAAGATATAATAACTTGACGAAATAATTAAACCTGACATTTGGCGTGTTGGTATCAACAACGACACTCACAAGGAATATTCGAGTTATTTCTACCCGGAACATATCTTTCAGGACAAGTAATATTTTGACATACCCCCCATTTATTAACACAGAAGATTTTTTTTTATTTGATTACACACCATACACATGTTGCGTCTTCTTTTCCGTACGGGAATTACCACAGCTGGCGGTTGATTTGCATTGGACGGATGTGGGACAAGAAGTCTTGTTACAAGCTGCAATTGTTTTGGCTGTATTAGAACCGGCATATTTATGATAGTCTGCGTACCAGAAAAGAGTAAAAACAGTCTCTGAAGAAGGTTGGTGAGGTTGAGATATAGCAGGGACTGTGAGACAGCTATGGCATCTAGCTGGATTTTGTGTAGCTGATCGCACATACTGGTATATATTAATATACAGCAGGACTGTGTTACCATATTTTTTTTCGATCCTGCAAGGCATTTTAGGACAAGTACAAATGTTCTTCTGTCTTGTAAAATATACCGTTATTTGGATGTCAGTATGATAATAAAAGTTTTGCAAAAACGTCAAACATAATATGAGCTGAGTTTTTCGAAAAGAATGAGATCACGTTGACTAACCATGAGAGCATCAAAAAGTTCAGTTTTCTCCTTTGTGTGAACAGCCGTTACCGCAAAAGCGGTACCTCGACAATACGCGAGGAAGCTGTTGAGAAACAGCTTGACTGAATACGTAATGTAAGAAAGCTTTACCACTGGAATTAAATATGAATTAAATATTTTTTGCTTGGTCAAATTTACACTTGCAGGAATGATACTTGGCGTATAATCCAATGGTCTTATAACATACTTTCTTGTCAATTCTAAAGAATGTTTTGTAATTTCAACCGTTTCGCTTGTCTAAATGTATGAGAATATATCACCGATACAGTTACCAAAAAGATTTTGGACCAGCGCATGACATAATTTTTATATGCAAGGTATACATGGCCTGAGAGATCCAAGGTGAGAAGTGTTAATTCTGAGTTCTTTCATGTCTTGTAATACTTCCCATCTAGACCATAAGTAAAATAATTAATATCTGCAAGGTATTTACTTAAGTATACATAAGAACTTACACTTATGTTGTGGTTTAATCTATAATCTGATAATACCGCATCAGTCAGTCTTGGGAATTGCGTTATATGACATATTTTCTGATAATGTTGAAATGTACCGATTCTTCTACAGATGAAGTACATCTACTACATCTATATCTCATGAAGTCATTTTTATCTTCTCCGGATTTCGGTATACAAAGTCGGCCATCCCAGAACATCAAAAACATAGCCTTGTCTTATTTCTTCCATGGTTCGATTAAACATAGTTATAGCCTCATTATCTAACAAAGGCAGGCCAACTCTTGAACACAATTCATTTTGGTATTTATCAAAAACAAGCTTGACAATGGGATACAGCTCTGCTGGAGGGGGGATGTATTCTCTGACACGATCGAAAATCATAAACGAGTATTTTAATCTGTACCAATTGATATTACATATGCTTCTACCGTATGTCTATCGTCACTGTCAATAGCAAACAAAGTCACAAAATCTACGGATAAAATCATTGCTTAAACCGTGTCGAAGAGATAATTTTAGCAGGTCTAACAAATGGAATGTATCTAAATACTCTTGAGAGTACTGTTGCATGTGAATCTGTAACATTTGAAGTGGGTTGAGCATTATTGGAAGTAATATCAACAGGAGTAGAATTTTCGAGCAACAGATGAAATGTACTGCAGCAAGTAAATTAGCTCTATTTACAGAAATTGCAAAATTGGGTTGCTCAAAGTCCTCAAGCGATAAGTTATCTTTGTATTTATACAACAAAATACCAACTTTAAGCAGCTTGACAAATATGACCCTTCCTCCTCTATACCGACATCTTCTTCTCGGAAGACGTCTGCCTGATGAGGGGGCAGATTAAAAAAAAAAAATCTATATTACTTATGAATTTACATAATTCAAATTACACAACCACCACTAATCCTCATCCTACTACAACAACAGGATCAACATCTGTTCCTCTTCCTCCAATTAACCAAGATCCATTCTTGGCCCACTCTTTCCTTTCAATTACCATCCGGATTGCTACTTTAAACTGTCGCAGTCTTATCAAAATTAAGGACCGCTCTCGTCGTCAAAACGTTATTCGTTTTCTGCGTACACAAAACCCACCTAGATATTATTATTTTACAAGAAACACACGCTTCCACTACTGAACTGAAGCTAACTCTTGATAGTTTATTTCAAGCTAAACAAACAGTCTGGAGCAAGCATTGGGGGGCGTTGTTTGTTTCAACCCTTCCTTGCAACTAACACTTGATTTCATAACAATTGATCAACGGGTGATAAAGTGTACTATAACTCATTCTCGACGTACCTTTGATCCTATAACTATTGTTACCATTTATGCTCCGGAACAACTCTCTGAACGTCAGCAATTTGTTTCTCGTATCATCGAGATGCCTATAATTTGTTCCAGAGAAGATACTCCCTCCGTCAACGTATCTAGTAATTCTCGAACTTTACTCTCTCGAACAATCATCACTGGGAATTTTAATTATAACATGCGTGATGTCTCCACCTCTTTGACTGGACAACATGCTTTAAGTAATCACCAATTTTTACTGGAATCAAGCGCGTCAATCCAATTTTCTGAACTGCCTAGACTCGCCTACTATATCTCCCACATTTCGAAGAGGTCAACCAATGTCAACCATACACTATATATATCGACTTCCGATTTATACTCTGATAAGATCAAATCCAGTGTTGTTACGCTTTTTCATATTTTCATTCGTAAAACGGTATAAAACAACCAATGGTTCTTGATTTCATTATCATTTATTCATTGTTTTATAGAAAACCCATGATAAACTATGAAACAGATTTTATTATCGTATATACAATGGCTATTGAGAAGCAGAAATATCTTTAATGATAATAAGGCAAATAGTCTTTTTCAACATTCGTTCTGATAGACGGAATAACTGCAAATAGGGCACTAATAATCTCTATATAAAAATGGATGACATATACACATTTAATAAACTTTAAATTCTTTTGCACCCGACCTCGAACGAAACATAAAACCAAGAAAGAGTGCTTCATATGAATGTATTGATCCTCTAAAAAAACAAAATTAGAAACACAAAGAAGCGATCTAGAGTAATCTCACCTTACTTTGACCGTCCATGATAAAGCAGACGTACCGTTGGTCTTAAAAAAATAATAAAACGATATGTGACCGATTATTAAAACGATATGTAAGTTCAAAAGACATACCATAACATCTTTAAATAAAGAGTGTTCTAATTTAGAAAAATAATTGAGGTGGTCCACATAAGTCTTTTAATTTAGGAAGTATATGAGAAAACTTACAGCTTTATCTAAAGTACGACATCCTTTTTTTAAAAGAGATAAAGGAGTATAGTAGCAGCCTATATAAAGAGCAAAAGCTACTCCGAGACTACCTGAATGAGAAGCGTTGTTAGTTATGTAGATAACAAAAACTCAAAACAGGACGCTTCAAATTGGAAGTTGAGTACCTTACATATAAGCAAAGAGCGTTAGAAACACGTTGGGGTTATTAATAAAAGGTCCTCTTGAAGCTAAAAACAAAGCCAGCATCGTTAATAGACGCACATATTACATTGGGAAATAAAGTTACCATATATCCTTAGTATTTTTTTTAAGTGAGTTTAAGAAGAAAGAAAGGAAGAAAATGTAAAAAATAAATATTGGGCTTGCGCCAGTTCTATTTGGTTTTGTGACCTAAAATCCGAATTCTATCTAGTGTATCAGAAAGACAACTATTTCTGCTTCACAACAGTAGTACCGCAGAACATATTCCGGTTCTCACAAGCTTGTCGAAACAAGTAATGGTGTAGTCAATGCCCGGTCAGACCTGGTTTGATGATATTGTGTATATCTCCTCTTTTTCAAAGATCATATCAACGAGTCCAGAAGAGGCAATAACTATGTTTTGTTTGCTGCATCCCACCTAAAGTAAGATTGTTTGTTTATCGTCATTATTTAGTTGTACAACAATTTAACGAGTCAACTTTATGTCGGTTCCAAAACCTTCTTTTTTGAGACCACATTTGATGGCGTGAATGATTTTCTTGTCTTAATTGATGTGGCTAAATCACATGGAGTGGTAGATTAGAACAGGATCGTGCCAAAGGTGGTCTTACGTCGCCCTGGTCAACATATGCTGTTTGTCGTTTCAAAGATATCGTTTGTAACGTAGGCCTTGTCCGATACACCATGGCTGAAAATTATCACACAGTCATATAGCATCTCATTTTCAGGGGATTGCTATACTCGAAGATGAGGGAATGCGAGTAATCTTTAAGAAATATAGAAATGAAAATAAAATAAAAATAAACATGGACAAAATGACGTGAATGAATCTCAAACGCCGAGCAAATGTCTGGTTGAGAATAGAAAAATCGTGACACCAGAATCGATAAACAAATCAGCAATCAACACTTGTTGAATAATTTATCAAAGTTGTTGGCCAGCAACAGTACCATTTTATAAAAAAAAAAAATGGTCATCAAAGTTGTTTACAACCAACAACAAATCCGCCATAGTGCACGCTTTATTGACGTTTTCTTTTAAGTGTCTTTCTATACATTCAGATAAACGACTTTGGAGAGCCAATCCAGCCTTAGTTTTGAGACCCAGATTTTTGGATTCCATGCATCCAGGGATTGAAAAAATTTGCTCAACGTTTCGTCCCGATCTTAGCCCTCAGCTTCGATGGGATCGCATTAAGGGAACTGCTAAAAAAGTTGCTCCTAAAACGGGTCGTCATCATGCCAATTGGCGGAAGAAACATTTAGATGTGTTACAATAAAAACGAACTTGTATACTGAACGACTCATCATTGACTCCAGCTGTTTTGCAATTTAACTTTCTAAGGAGGAGGCAAAAATTCAAGGCCTGGAAGAGGAATGTCTACCAATGACACTTTACGAGCACAAAACATTTGGAGGGAAACAGGTCAATCTTTGCCTTCCTTTCTGAAACGCTCTATTGCTACTCGCCTTGCCAAAAGTTTCATTCCGGAATTACTACATCCAATTACATCAGCATCCTGTACAACTCCAAAAGCTCTGACCGCTGCAGCTAAATCACCCCTTAGTAACACCGTTTTTGTTTTACCGGGACATTAAATAAATTTCGAAAGACAGCTGCGCTGCCCTTCCCTACAAAAAAAAAAGTGTTCCTTTGGAATCCAAAAGCCAACGTGAGTTTTGATAACGTCAAAACCCTTGGGGAACTGAGTTTTAATTAAAAGAAGGTAACAAAAGATTGTAAGCCCAACCAGTTTCACGTAAATTAGAAGGGGCGTTACTTGAGCTTGGTACCAATTTTATACCCTTCCACTTTTTTTATGTGTGTACGAAAAAGCGTTATGGGTATATAATGTTTAAAATTAGGATCCACTAATTGCGTTTTTAGCACACGCATCTTTTTCATGACTATCAGTATGAATTTAAAGTATTCATTTCGTTCTTTAAAATAAATTTGTTATTGATGTGGACCGTACATCACAAACCTGAAATACTAAATACAACAAAAAAAAAAGACAAAAAAACTGACGCAGTTACAGCCATTTTTAAATTTCTAAAAATATAACTGCGATAGAACGTTTGAACAGAAAATCCGCCAAGACTTTCGTTCATCAACAGTCAAAGTACGCTTAATCATAGTCTTAGACGTGTTTTCGTGGCTGTGTCTAAAAGCTGTGTAATAATTAAACATTTTTGAGTGGCTCAGTATACACCGTTTGAGGTTTACCATATACAACACTTCCTCTTATATACTACCTGCCGGAACGTATAAGACATTCACTGTTGATATAAGTCATTTAAAATTATTTTTCATCCTCATAAACCTCGTCGCTAAGCGTTTGACGTTTGGGTTTATGATCCTTTTTATGTTCTACTCAATACGCTATTAACAAGTCAGAGACTTTCAAAAGTTTCAGGACAATGTTTATTTATTTTTCAGGTCAATAATTATTTATTTTTCAGGTCAATAATTTTTTTTTTTTCAGGTCAATATTTATTTGTTTATTATTACATATTTTAAGGCGCATAAGGGACAATCACTACAACATGTGATGTCCAAGGCACAGCCAAAAAAGTATCGAATCCTAAGCTGTGACTAAGGCACAACATCTAACCTGAAGTAGACCGTAAAATAAGTCTACTGTCTACTTTGAGAAAGATTTTCTTTCTTAGTAAAATAAGGATAACAACATCAATCAAAATGGCTTTAAAGGCAATTTTTGTTCGCTGGATTTTTTAGAAGAGACTTGGTGCGGACAATATAGAACGTGTATCGAAGCTTCAAAACGTTGACCTTATCATTATTTGGTCATTGATAAAAGAGAATTCTGTAAAAGGAAATAAATGTACAAAGCACGAAAACAATTACCGTATCGTAAATCCTTATGAATGTGATTTTGAATGCCCTGCCTTTTTACCAAAGGGCCAATTGACCTCCTGTCAAAATAACTTGTATAAGTAACAGCAACTGCCATTACCTGGATTCAATTATTAAATCTTTTAAGGCTACAGTTTAAAGTTCCTCTCGTGTCCAACACAGATTTAGTTAATCAAACAAACAAGAGAAAACAAAACAAACGCATTCTTTGCTTTTTATATACTAATTTATTGCTGTTGTCATTTTTCTATATTACACCCTCCAACGAAATTTACACTCAAAAACATTACACGCTTTTATCCAACACTACTTTTGCATCGTCTCCTGCCATTGTGAAGTATATTTACTGTAGACGTACATCTTTTCTTTCTCATTCGTACCCCATTACGTTTTCAACATGAGATTTTCCTATTTCTTTTTGTCCTCGTATCATCAAGTCGAGATATACCTCTATTTTTGGAATAGCACACCCTTATCCACGAAATATTATTTTTGTATGCTTTGTAATCTTCTGTCCTCGCGTGTTCTACATCCCCTCTCGTATAAATCCGCTGCTTTTGATTGCATTTGCTGCATGTTTGAACTCACTAATATTTTTTGACCTTGACTTCTCCTGCTCTCCTCTGACAATTAGATCTATTGTACTGCTTCTTGTATATAAACATGTTGTAAAAGAGTTGTCGACATTCAAATCGTTCAGGATGCTTAACAACAATTCATCATCTTCATAGTCTAGAGACAGACTCTAAAATTGGCCTATAATTCCAATTTGTCGCTTGGAATCCTTTACCAAAACTGAAGGTCTTTATCACGAGAATTTGTTGTTGATTTGCTGCAGTTATAACGTTTCTGATCTCAAGGTGAAGCAGCTAAACATAAATCAAAGTAAAGGGCAAATACCTAATAAACGGTGGATAATGTTTTAAGCTTTGCGAATTTAACAACTAAATTAGAACAGAAAGGATTGCAACCCCCCATGCAAGCATATTTACCTGTTTAACCTGGTTCTCAAAGATGGCTTAACATTGGACATCTTCCTACAATGTGTCTTGTGAGAATGTGGGAAAATAAAAGACGTGCATGTTTTTTTGTTGGCGCTTAAATAGGCAAGTCACAAAAGGACATCAGGCAGTCTTCAAAAAATATTTTCAGCTTTTGCAAAAACTTGTTTCTACGCAGAAATGACGAACATAGAAGAACTTAGTGGCGTTAAAACAATTGACTGTCCATCGTAAAGACGAAAACTATTAATTTACACCAACGTTGTTCAGAATAAGATCTGGCATACTCTCTTGCGATGATGGTCATTCCTTAGCTGTTTTTTTTGGTCGATGTACAAAAATAGACGGAAACGCAGCGTTTAAATTCCAAACCCTGGCACTCCTTATGCTATGACCGACCAAGACACTCGTCCAACGTCATGTCGTGGAACGGCTTCAGCTACACCTCATGTCGTATATTCTACCTCTTCTGTGTTTGGAAAGACAACTTTGGAAACTGGTCTCTAATAATTCGACAAGAAGACATACCACAAGCTTAAATCCAACAAAAGGAAAACCAACATGCGAAATGAAATGGTCCAGTACCTTTTCCGTTTCTATGGATAGCAATGTTAATCAATAATGATGTGTTAAATCGACGTAATTTTTCTCTCTCATGTTTTAATTAAACCACCACACTAGGCATGATGGGCAGTGGTCAAAAATCAGAGAAGGCACACATCAACACCGGATAAACTGCTACAGCATAATTACAGCATCAAAGCACGTAAAGTTTGAAACGAATTCAAATCAAATCTAGATGAATTTCCTGCATAACGTTTGGTTGCAGCACCATCATGACCAAGCAGAATGTTATATGTACACTTATTAAACATAATTTATATTCCTTTAATCAAGATATAGGGCAGTTTATTTATTTCCTTAAAGATCATTTGTGACTATAAGTTTAAATCAAACGATGGATTAGGCATTATTTTATCGTAATATACGAACAATAAAAATAGTTTACTCTTATTTTCGTTAATGGGTAAATAAAAATAATAAAGAGTTTTTGGTGGTCAAGTATTGCATTAAAATCGTAAATTATTTAACATAAAAAGCTTCCAGAATCTTCGGCATCGGATAACGGCAAAAAGTGTCCGCTGTAAGCCATTTTATCTACAACAAAAAAAAATATAATTGATGATGTCGGAAGTGCATTTCATTTGACACATGTCTTCATCACCGAATACAGAGCTTGTGTGTTTAAAGACGTCTGGAAAGTGATTGTCGTTACGTTTACTACATTTACATCGTCTACCCTGCTCTTCGAAAAGCAAGGTTCTTTGTTTTTTTAGGATATTATCAGTCTGATTTTCAAGAGATAAACCAGGGTCTTTAAAGTCTTCACACCCTATACGTTTATGACCATTGCATAAGCTACATCAAATAAAATCAAGTCGGGTCTTCTTGTTTTTTACAACCTCAGCAGCAGATATTTAGACCTTGTTTATATTCAGTGCGCCTGTCTATAATGTATGTCTCCACTAGGCGTAACCCTGATAGATGGCTTTTCAGTGTTCCCACAATGAGGACTAGATGGGTTCTTGCTCCAGCATACAATAAACGGGGTGTAGTCCTTTTTTGGGCCCATGAGTATTTTTGTTGTTCCACTCTCCGTAAAGCTTGAGATAAATTGTGAACCACAAATCATATTCAGTTATTTAGCAATAGGCTACATCTTACGTCTTAATATAATTCGGCATTTCTTAAGGAATGTAATCTTCTGCTAGAACAATGTTTTGACCTGACATTGTGTGTTGTTAGTGTACTGGGTTCAGGCAAAGAAAGAAAAAAAAAACCTAAAGTGGGCAAAAAAAAAAAAAAAACAAAAAAACCCCCGATAGTGCACTTAGCACATCACTGTCATTTTAGTCAACCGAGAAACGGATAGTGCTCTTAGTCAGTAAAAACCGCGGAGTAAGTAGCCGACCGATTCAGGCTTTGTCTAATTCCCAAGACAAAACGTGACCGAAATTTGACCTCCACTTCGTTGCGGTAATTTCGACCTCCGTTTTGCATCGGGAATTAACCATTTTTTTTTTTTTTGTACTTACTTTTAGTGCTCTATCTGGACTTATTATTGTTCTGTTTTATAATCTTAATTATACTTCTTATAAATACTTCCAATTAAATACATAGCATTTATTTTATAGACAGAATTGATTCGATATGACCCTTTAAATAATAAAATGATGACGTATTTTTATTTATAAGGAAATTATTTTCCCCCTCTATTTTGTACTAATAAACCAGAAAACGGGTTGGATGTTATTTTTATTTTTATCTTCTCACAGTCTCTTTGTACTGGATAAGTGTACTATCGTTGTATTGTCAACATCTGCAATTAGGATAGTATGAAGACCCACTTTTATTTGGTTAAAACTGCCTTGTAAGTTTGATTTTTTTTACAAATCTTCAAAAAAGTTTATAGTA